AATTAACATATTGTAGTTATTTATCAATTAAGACATTTAAATGCCTTTATTTTTTGCTTTAACATAATATATATCAAATACATCATAAACAAGTTTTGAAAAGTAAAATATTACTTTCATTTGGTGATGCGTTAGCAATTTTGTCTATTGTACATTGATAGTTGTTTTAATTCTTTTTAAAATAATTTTCCTATAACAACAGCGAAATTTTTTAGAATAAAACATTAATATTCATTTGAGATGCGTAAGAAATATTTTTGCGGTTGTCCAATTCATACAGAATTGCAAAATCAAAAAAAAAATCAAAAAATTCCGGAAGACAATATTAAGATTACTGATGGCTGCAAAAAGCCAAGATTCTGTTCTAAGATCTTCAGTCGCTTAGAAGGGCTATAATTCTGGTGAAAGGTTAAATGACACCCACCCCTCCTTAACACCAAAATGAGAGGGAACCAATTCACACTGAGAGATTGGTGGCTCGTACAGTGCACGTTATTGGTACACTGGTACCACACTGATACTGACTACATCCGGGTGACCTGGTTTTTCTCTTTCGTCAGAATGGAGAGGAGAGTATTAACCTTCTCTCTGCAAACTAGGCCTTGCGGTGGTACCTGTTGTTGTCATTTCACGATTGCTAAGATCAAATAACACAGAAGCATTTGCCGCATTCTTTTTATACAAGGTGCCATGCAGTGCATATGTACCGTTTTTGAGGACCAATTTTCAATCGAAAGAAAAAAAAATGGAGTATTTAATTCTGTGGACCAATTTAAGTCAATGCATAAGTCCTTACTGGTGTCTATCCATTTGAACACAATTTCAACCTTTATTCTACGGGCATGGGCCTCTATTTTTATTGCTGTTAATTAAAACATTGCTTCTTCCTTTGTACCTAGTTTGGGCTCGTAAAACTAGGTTTTAAGGATATATTATGCTGATATAACTTAGCTCCAGAACTGTAGCTCTCTGCTTGAGAAAATTCAGACAAAAAAAAAAAAAAAAAAAACAGATCAAAGCATTGTAAAAACGTTCGATTTACGCCGCCGATTTTATATCGCTTACTTTGGCTCTCTGCTTTATTTGTCCGAATTTCCTCAAACAGAGAACTACAGTTCTGCAGCTAAATAAAAATAACATTAAATTCTTCAATCTTGGAAGTCGATATTTTTATCATTTGAAACAAATAAACGAGGTAGAAAAAAACATTATTTCCAGGTACAAGGCATTGAAAATATGGCGGGAAATCAGACTTCTTGGAATTTTCATAGAAAATGAAATTTCCTGCCTCAAAACTTATGATCTGGAATTAAACTTTTCTTAATATCTTACTTGAAGACTATATAAAATACACAGAATCGAAATGCAAATAAATAATTGGGGTTAGTGGGCAAAAATTTATGCATATTTTACTTTTAAAAAACCAGAGGAGTTCCGTACAAAAATGACTGACACCATAATGCATCCTTAAATGCACAAATGTAGAAACGTTGATTAATGAGTCGTGTCTATTAATTTATCTTCATTCTGATATGATATATACACTGCGACTGTACATTACATGCACTTGGAGAGGAAAAAGTTGAAAGGCAAAGTTCCTCGAAAGAATGCAGTGTGCATTTTTTGAAACTTTGGTTACAAAGAATGATTTCCGCGAAAGCTTATTTTTTGGATAAATAAGATTTTGCACTATAGACTTTGATGAGAGAATACCTGTCAGCACTGATACCAAATACTGAAAGTCTCTTTATAAAAATCCCTAATAACATAATTATATTACTGCTATTAAAAATTCATTCATACATGTAAAGTTACATAATTTTTGCGTTGTATTTAAAATTCTCTCGTTTTTTTTCTTCTATATTTCCTCTTCTGCGTATTTAAGGGGGCTGGGGGTCAACAAATTAACCATCAGATATAACTGATTCTTTTAAATATGAAATTTTAAGTTGTCAACTATCATTTGCAAAGAAAATTTTTCTACATTTTAGTTTTAAAATTTGATCGTAGTTGTTATCTTTATATGGAGCTGTTCTTCTAAAAGAGATCAGTATAGTCTGAAAATGGTCACAAACCACCACCACCCAGCCCTCTTAAATATTATTTCATTTTAAATGATACTTATAATGAACGAATCGAAACATTTTTTTTTTCAACGTTTTTAAATACTACAAAATTGGCCTTGAGATTTTAAAAGTTGGTTTTTTTTAATATTTATATGTGCGGGAAAATGCATGTCTTCTAGTGCGTAATAGATCAATTACACTCCAAACGTAAATACCGTGAGCTGTTGTAATTTGAACTCCAAAAACTATAAGTCGCTTGTAGTGCATGAAGAAACGTGTTATAAATTATCACTGATGAAAAGTACATGTAATATTCAGTGTCCCAAAAAAGAGACATTTACGATCATTAATACTTAATGAATTTTATATGTCATAAATAAATTACATTTAAATTGAACTCAGCGATCAGTGTGCACAAGATAGTGATTTAAAGGGCCTTGGACACAGATTTGAAGTTTATAATTTTAAAAACCCCAATATAATATCATTACTTATATGTTGCTAGTTCATTTCACGCCAATCTTAAATAAAAACGTGTTTTAAAATTTTTTTTATCTGGAAATTATTAAAACTACGAATTTCGGGACATGTTTGTTTAAAACATATCCTTGCGCTTTCACAAAGCAAACGTAATCCTTAATACTCATGAAAAGTAGTAATTTTGATGTATGTTAATGAAAGATATTTGAATTATAACTCAGAAAACTAAAAGGGTAGGAGAGCGAAATCAGTTCAACAGTGTTGTCAGATTGTGCTCAGTGGTGTGTCCTGAGTTTATCAAATTGAACACACCCGCTAAAACATGTTCAAGTACAAACCTCTGCACTGTTTGCAAACACATTATATTTGATGTGATAAAAAGAAAAATGTCATTTCCAGTGAATTCTAAGAATATTTCACGCAAGTTCAAATCATATAAACTGAATTCATTTTGTGAACAAACATAGAAAGAACAGGAAAGTCTAAGACTCCTTTTTAGCCCACTGATTTATGGTGTCTCCAGAAGCAGTGCAATAATTCATCATTACAAACTTGTTGTCATGATACCTCTTTCAAAATAAGCATGATTCCAAATTTTGAGGTACAAAAAGGTCTCTGGAAGGTCACAAAATATGACAATTTCCGAATTTTCTCATATTTATGCAAATTTTCATTATTTTTTATTTAATTGCACATTTTGTTTCAGAAAACAGGGACAGAAACTTTCATATCCACCAAGTTTACATATGTCACGTAGAAGATGCTTCTTGTGATTCAACCATGACCAGAATGGGAGAGGATCGTGCATTTTGGCCATGGTTTGCAACAATGGGCAAGCTTTTTCTCTATCTTCCTGAAGTGAAAATTAAGTATCTCAATTTTGATGAAATTACATTAGAATTGAGGTAATTGGGTAATATGTCCAACTTTACACCCTCATGTACTCACTGAATTAAAATTATTGCTGGTTTAAAAAACAAGCAACATTTTACAGTTCTCAACCGCAAACTATCACAATTTTAAGTGTTTTGATTTTTCCATAAAATGAGGGGTCAGATTTGTCTGTTGCCATACCCTGTCCTTTAAAGTGTAAACAATACAACTGTCCAGGCCCCTTTAAGTTAGTCTGAAGTGTATAAAATTTCACTTCCAATATTAGAATCATTAACCAATAAAGTGTTATATCTTGATAAATTGTTTTAAAAATTATTTTAAAATGACATTATTATACAATTATTGCTGTTTTTTGAGGTCAATACGATGATTTAGACATGATTTAGACATCTGAGGAGTACAATATTCAATATAGCCCAAAGGGCAAAATGAATATTGTACTTCAATGGTGGCTAAATCATCATTTTGACCTCAAAAAACAGCAATAACTGTTTTATTATATGATTAAATGAGAGCAAACTCCTACAAGACTGTTTTTGCTTTAAGGATATCCGATCTTCAGCCAGGAAGGATAACTCCAAAAATTAATATTTAATTTGAAATGCATCAAAATGAAGCTTAAAAATGAATTTTTTTCATGCAACAATTTTCATTTTATTCTTTATAAGATTCAAGGTTTTTGGAAGTCTTAGAAAAGCACTTATAAAAGTTGACATTTGTACCCTATAAAAGGAAAAAAAATTAATACAGTTTTAGAGAAATAAGATTTTCTTGAATCCAGCCTTAGACACCAATGTTTATTGGCATGATATGAAATAAGAAGGGATTTTTGGTGTCTTGCAATTATAGCAAAAGGCTTTTACACTATGTATTAAAGAATACATGACGGAAATAGAAGACAAAAAATACCAAATACCGGTAAGTATAAAAATCATGACAATTTCTCTGAATGCCTGGATACATACCATTTTTTAACCTAAAATATATATTTCTTAATCAATTTGCAATTAGAAAATGCATTGCTGATATTCCAATTCGCTTTTTCTGCAAATATATTGGAGATTTGACAATTTTCCCTATATAATATGATTAACTTTAATCTTTAACTTTAAAGAAATACTGTGGATAAATTTACATAAATTTGTGGATTCAGAGATACTTTTATGAGTATTTTTGATTACTTAACTGCTAATTTTATAAACCTGAGGATCGGACTACCTTAATTGAAAGTTTTAACAAGAAATTGCAACAAAACACATTGCTACAGAAAATATGGAACAGGAATAATTCCTTATATTGACCTGCAATAATTCCATGTATTGACCTGGGAGGTCACATGATTCATTATATTGACCTGCAATAATTCCTTGTATTGACCTGGAGGATCACGTGCAGGTCAATACAACATAGTATTTTTCTAACATTGTTGGATCTCAGCCAATCAGAGAGAGGGAAATTATTCCATCATATAATAATAAAAGTTAATCTTCAATCATTAACAAGTAGTTTTCATGAAGTTTATAAGGAAAGCAACTTTGAAATGAAACTCAAAAGAGAAAATTTAAAATATCATTTATTAGTATAAATATTATACACAAAATAAGTCCTCAAATTCACCTCTCCGTTCTTCCCAAGAAAACTTTGAAATATCTATCTACAAGTTAAAATATAAGAACTACATGAAACATACAATACATGTGGGAGATTTTTTTTTAATAATCTATGGAGTCAATTTTTTCTTTGCTGTTACTTTTACAAAATCAAGTCTGCTTTGATCTAGTTTTAGAACATTACAGATACTAGCAACTCTTAATTGGATAAGCAGCAAACTGTCTGTCATCTAAATTATACTGTACGTGTGCATAATTTGGTGTATCCAAAATTTAGAGCATTCAATGGGTATGTGGTTGTTGGCGTAATCATAAATTAGCGCTGTCCGTTCAGTGTATTGTGTATGTAAATGATTCTTAGCAGTATTCATCATAGGCATTGGAAGCAAATTGAAAGGGGGGGGCTAATTGAAAGTTGGGGGGCTAAACCAACAAAAAAAAGGTAAACCCCAATTTAAAAATGTCTATCTTTGCAAAAAAGTGGGGAGGGGAGGCTAAGCCCCCCCCCCTTAGCCCCCCGGTTCCGACGCCTATGTTCATGAATTAGTGCATTGTTGTCTGTGCCAAAGCTGCTAAAATATGAAGCCCGGTTTTTAAAGTACACATACAGTACTTATTAACTGATTGGTAGTTCCTGAAAATGGAGTTATATACACAACTCAAACACACCTGTATTTTGTGTTCCCTGACCAGGTTTGGATGATGACAAAATCTTCTCAATGTTTTAAACAACTGATTGTCTGTATTATACAAATACTGCTCTGAAACAAAAACATTAGAGTTGCTCTATTATCAATACTTGGTGATACCTCATAAAGTTATCAATTTTACATTATTTAATTTTTACATTTTTATTTCAAGACATTTTCAAGAGCTCAAATTTCTGTGGTACAAAATTCCCAAAAGCTTACTGAAAGGGAATTATGAAACTGAATTCAAAATTGATTTGATTTAAATACAGAGCACATGTTTCACATCATATTAAAGATAAATTAATGTTGATATATTTTGTATGAAAACCTTTCAACACCTACTTGGATATATCTCCGGATAGACCAAACGATTTGGACACAAGGGATAACATTTCATTTGGACTGCTTCCAACCTGTTTTAAAAGAAAGCAAAAATTCTGAAGAAGGAAATTAATGCAAATTTTTTTTAAAAAAGCAAACCCCATGAAGAGAGTTTTACTCTAACAGACCCAAAGTATAAGGGTGGGGGAGTTTTTGTAAAGTAGTCCTTTGCTGTTGTGTACAAAAAAACACCTTTTACTGCTTTTTTTTTTGCTGAAGTTTTAATGTGAAAATTTTCATTTGAAGGTGATATAAACTTCTTTATCTCAGCACAATTTGTTTTTTAATTTTTATTTATTTATTTATTTTTTGGTGGGTGGGGGGTGGGGGTGGGGTAATTTCTATGGAGGGCTACCCACCCCAAACCCCAATCCCATTTTAAACCACATCCTATAAATATAAATGTTACAAAATCTTCTACTACCATTTCATAGTTAGAGGGTAAATCTTACATGGAAACTCCAAAGAATTCATGCAAGGCAGTAGAAACAGCTACATCTGCATTTTCAAGGACACGATGAAATTCTGCCTTGCTTGGCACATACCCCCAGTGTTCCAAATGCTCCTCAAGGATCGGCTTTGATTTCTCAAAAACCTCTAACAAAGAAAGAGAACAATTACTGCACCCAGTGTAACCCAGGATTTTGATACAGAATAAAGGAAAAAAAATTGCATTGTACGATTTTCCAAACTGCAAATCATTCTCCATCAAGTCCCTGAACTCAGGGAAAGTCTAACTTTTAAAGCATTAAACAATGTAAATTGCATCGTACGATTTTATGAACTAAAAATCCTTCATCGTACGAGGCATTAATGGGTCAAAAAAATAAGCTTTATGAAAAGAGTACTTCTGTATTATATCATCAATGAATTTTTTTCTCTATTTGTTGGTGAGGAAATTGATATGTTTGTTTTTCTACAGTACCTAGATTATCAGTAAACTGTTCGCCAAGGACAGACAGCTTAAATCGACACCCCTCTTTGTGTAAACGGATGACAGTGCTAAAGAATGATTCAGGCCCCTTGTCATGTTCCCTGAAATAAATATTTTGTTAACTGCTCTCTTGATTTTAGATTTTGAGACAGATATCAAAAAGGCTCAAAACACTTGATATTTGATTGATTGTCATTGCTGATAAAAGTCATGTACACAGTATCACATTACAGTTCCTCAATATTGCTCTACTTTCTTGCTCTACAAAAATATTTGTTCTTATTCTTAAGATCACTCTTTGCTATGATAATTGAAAGGAATTATTTAATAAATTCAGTAGTTTTGATATGCAATTTTAGTACATACATTGTATTACCAACATTAGTACAGTGTACTTCAACATATGTAAAAGTCAATTACAGCTAATTCAGATAGAATTCTTTTACCATCTGTGAGCCCAAACAATATGCAAAGGCCTCTCTTCCAGTTCAGACAGATTTTTTTTTGACACACTATTCTGAAAGTCATAGGCATTATGAACTTGATTAACAGAATGGTCTGTATTTTTTGGCATCTGATCCATTGAGTTTGAATTCACTGTATATGCTATATTAGATTTGTCAATAAGTGTCTGGCCAGTATTTGATGTCACTAACTTTGGTCTCTTGCTAGTTTCTCCTTCATTTGAATCCAATTCTACCTTCTGATTGGGTGTAACACAGAGAGACTCCTGTGATTCTAAATCAAGATTCCCATTGGTTGTTAATCTCTCAGACTCTGAATCAGCCCCCTGATTGGACAATATTGTCTTTGAGGCTGTGCTCCGATTGGCTGATAATTCCTGAGAAGCTGGGTTACTGATCTGATTGGGCAGTGAAGAATAGGAATCCATCTGCTTTACCTGATCAGTTGAGAACGTTCTATCTGAAAACAGAGTTCATTTTACCCACTTAATATAAAATATCTTTAATTTTATAATAAAATTCCAAATACATGACAAGAATTTATGTATCACTGTGCTAACAGTGATGCCCCCTTCCTTTTAATCATGACATGCAAATCCTAATTTTTATCAGTACTGTTATGAATTCATCAACAACAAAAAAGATAGCTAGCCTACATATCTATATTTAATAGGAATGATTTGAGCATCCTGAAATTGAGTCATCTGAAAGTCCCATCCTTGACTGATAATAACCTTTTACTTTGAAAGCAGCCAGGATTGGGTAGTAGCTTTACAACAACAAGTGGTCAGTGGATCAGTGCGCTCACATGAGTCACAAGATAAATGAATTTTAGATACATTTTTATTAAATTTCATGTATCCTAAATATGGTAATAAACTTTAATTATAATTTTCAGCAAATTAAAATCTTTAATGTTTAATATCAAATGTCAACTAAAAATCTACATTTGTTATCCAGATCACAGCATATACATGTAAATATGTAAGGTTAAGATCAAATCAATCATCTTTAACCATCTACCCTGACCTTGAAGCAAGTGACCCTAAATTTTCATCTTTATATGGATTTTTTTTAGGTATAAAGGCAAAAACAACTCCAAAAAGGTTAATCCTTTTCAATTGTATTATTCAAGTTGTTTCTGAGCAATTCTGCAATTTTTTGCTAAAGTGCAAGTATATAGGATGCATTCTAGCTGTGGTAAGGACTTGTCTTGACACATAGTTAAATTATTCTAGCTATATTCAAATACCTTACAGTTATATTACTATAACTACTGCATTTTGGAGGTGAGGCAAGGAAGCTCTAAATCTTGCCAGATTTCTAAGGTACATATAACATTGTTTACAGAAGTGGCAATTGAATGTTTTGAACAATCATTTTGCAACATATTGCCAAGGGTTGAATTCCAAACAGTAGATTGTCAATAAAGGAAAGTTTAGAGTATTTAATTAGCTTTCAAAAGTCACAAATTTCAATGATTGATATTTGATTAGAAGAGTCTGCTTTGTGAAAAGCATTGCAAAAAATGTAACAAGCAAGAACTAACTCCTGTTAAAGATTTATTAGGCTGGTTCAGCAAATGATTAGCTAGATATTTCACCTGGATCTCTTTCTTATCTGTCCTTATAAATTCCACAATGGTCAGTCTTGCATTGTATTCATTAGCACATTGCCCCCATCCCAATCGCATCATCTCGGGTCTTTCCGTCAGAGGTCAGAGAAACAACCTCGAAAGTATTAACATTGCCGGATGTTAAAATTTTATACATTTCCTGTTTAGTCAAATGTAGGATAGATGGAGTTAGAAGTCCCTTCTATAGTATATTTTAGGTAATATCATTACATTGAATAAAGTTAAACTCCACATTCCACAGATAAAATGTCTCCATGCATTTATTTCAAATATCATGAAAAAGGAGGTTTGTCATGGCGTCTACCATATACATTCGAGGTCGTTTTTCCACTAGTCAGAAAGGCCCGAGAAGTTGCGATTGGCCCCCATCCAACAGACATTTCCTATTTTCACTGCAAAAGAGCTCCACTAAGTAATTGCAATATCAAGTATTGGTGTCCCCTACTTGTACAAGTTTGTATTTAATAAGAAATCAATAGGTTGAAGGGTATAAAATATATCATGTATCATGAAAGCTTTGATAGTCTGTAGGCCCCATACCGTAAATCTGGAAATTTTTGCTGTAGATAAAGTTTTAGCAAATTTGCGAGTTCATTGCATTCGCAAAAATATTTTTCTTAAAAATAAATCACAAATAAGATAATATAAACAAAGCAGTGGTCATTCGCAAAATTTTGAAACATAAAAATTAATCAACAGCATTTTGACCCCCCCAAAATAAAATCCCCAGATTTACGGTATACATGTACCACACACACACTAATTATGATCCATATGTGTTATATTGTTACTTCAATAACTTATTATTTTGTAAGATAGTTATTTGGTATTTATAGACAAGGGAAAAGAAAAATCTAAAATGGTCATTGTTGTTTAAAATCTTGGACTTATCAAAAGAAATATGCCTGTGTAATATGAAAGCCCTAGTACTAACTGTTCAAAAGTTATGACCATGCAAAGTTAAAATTTTCAAAAAATAGGTCATACTCTAAGGTCAAGGCCAATAAGTCAGAGGTATTTATACCCATTAAAAGGCCTTGTCATGATGAATATACATGTGAAGTGTGAAAGCCCTAGCACCAACTGTTAAAAAAATTATGGCATAGGTAGGTCAAATTCCAAAGTAAAGGTCAAGAGGTCAAATTTGGTGGTACCCTAAGAAAGGTCTTGTCACAAGGAATATATGTGTGAAATATGAAAGCCATAGCCCCATCCAATCAAATGTTATGGGAAAGGTTAAAGTTTTTGCGAAAACAGACAGACACAGACTGAAAAGGCAAAAGTATACACCAATGAATTTTTTATTACCGATGCATAAAAGCTAAGTGAATTACAATGTTGTAATATAATAAAACTACAATTACACAATCTTACGAACATTATCAAACACTGAAAACAATCTTATGAAAATCAAAATATAAACAAAAGCTTATTTTTGTACATTTTCTTGGGATGCATGTGTACAAAGGTATCCTTGTCATTATGCAGAAAGTGATTATGAGTAAACAGTTGAAGGGGAAGGGATCAATGTATGAAGTGTGGCTCATACATCACCTGTTTACATATGCAAACATGATTGTCACTTTTTTGTTTACACAATGTAATTTTTACCCCAATAACTGCAAGCAATGTAGATTAAATATTTGAATTTCAAAGTCAAATTATTGCTCCCATGGAACGGTTTATAGATAAATAGCAGTAAAGTTCAAACGCTACCATTGTGTGTGATTACCAAACATGATCCTGAATTAATGATTTATTTAATCAAGAAATTATAAATTCAATTTGTACATATATTGCATAAGTTTTATGGCGCATTATTCCTTATACCAATAAATACGTCTGTTTTTTAAACATCGACCAAATTTCTTGATCATCTTTTTATTTCTTATGAAAACAACATGGTCCACAAGACATGCTAAAAGCAAGTCACTCGTGAAGATTTCTTGAATAATGGTTCCTGTTCTTCTTCAATATGATTATTTGTACAGACATAACTTTAATAAAATATGTTTCAATGTTTGTTTTTTGTTAGTATGGGAATATGCTTACATAGGTTTTAATATGTATATTATATATGCAACAGTTGCAAGACTAATTCCCATACTTACAACTATTAAAGACAGCATTTTTGTGTTTAAAAACAAATAACAATCCTTTAGACAGTTTTAATTTACACTAGTTTACAGATTCTATATTCCAACGGTACAATACAACTAGAGGCTTGTGGGCCACAATGCTCACCTGAGTCACCTTTATTAAGCAATTATTTTATTGGGAATTATTTTCCCTGGAATTCACCTTTTTCTTTTTGAATTATACATTATTATTGCCCCATCACTGGCCATCAGAACTCTACAGGTTCTTTGAATCCACATAACATGGGGTGCTTTAATATCAATCTGACTAATATGGCCTTGCAGTAATGGAAAAGACATTTCTTTTCTGTTTAATGCAATGCATAAAATGTGCTCCTGGTTTTAAGATTTTCCTATAGATATATTCAAAGGAAAAATTAGAGCTAGATAACATCAATATAAAGGCATGTATAAAGGCACAATCTTCACCTTATAACTTCGCTTTATGTGAGATGTACACTCACTTATCTCAATTATCTCAATTATCTCAGCATGACAACCATCATTACACACATCTTATATATCTCAAGCACCAAGTGCCATATGCACCTTATATGATACATGTACTGACATGTTGATTCCCTCTGGTGAGCTCTTAATTGGTCCCATCTAACCCCAGAGGAAAAAGGATTTGAATTTATAGTACCCCAGGAAGCCTCCCTATAAGTTTCTTCTTCTCTTGCCAGTGTTTATTGAGAAGTTTCTTTTCAGTTAATTCTCTCTAATTTTCCTTTTCTTTATTGACTTCGCTTGGAAGTGGGCATGTCCCTTCATTTGAGCAAACCTGAATCTAAACCACCTGAGGATGCTTCCATTAGTTCCATATTAAAATCACTGATCACAGCTTTGCTGTTCTCCACAAGATGTTTTAAAGATATGTTAGTATACCAGTATATTCCTTTATAAGACTGTGGCTCCACCCTACCCCTAGGAGTTATGATACATGTAATTTACAAACTTGAATCTACACTATCTGAGGATGCTTCCAAATAAGTATCACCAAATATGGCTTTCTTGTTCTTGTGAAGAAAATTTTAAAAGATTTTACCTTGTATTTCCATGTAAAACTTTGATTGCCCATTATGGCCCCACCTTATCCCCGGGGGTCATGATATGAACAAAGTAGTTCATTTGCATGTAACGTTTACTTTAAAAATAAAGTGCCGCGCCACAGCATGATACGCCCGTCAAAAATTACAATTTTCTTCAACAGTTTAGCTTGCAATCACGTCAACCCTGATTCTAAATTTCCATGATTTTTCCATTCCTAAAAAATATTTATCCATCCCCTGTGATGTAAGCATTAGTTATAATAAATATTACATCATTGATGGATTTCTATGCTGGTTGTGTTAGACCTTGTCAAATGCCCATCATATTAAACAATATCAAATTAGTCTTAACAAATTAATCTATATCAAATTAATTTTGAAAAGAAAAGGCTGGCCATCAAATGACATATGCTGTAAACTAACCAACAGTTCTTCTGTCTAATTCCCAAAGGTCATCATACAGCCTGATCAGAGTGATTAAGACAGCTAGCCTGAACTCATTAATTAATCTTTAACTGGATGCTTGTCTACTCATTAATACCAATAGATGAATGGGTCTGCACTATCTACCATAACTTTTTTAAAAACATATGAAATACTCAAAGATTTTTTTTTGTTGACATTTAATGTCCGACAGGTTTTAATATAAAATTCATATGGACATGCTGATTCCACCCCAATCCCATAAAATTAGTTTTTATAAATTAACAATTTTATATAATATAAGATTAGTCTACTATGCAATATTAAATTAGTTTTAATTACTTTTCATTAAATTCATTTTAAAACTTAGGCTAGCCAGCAAGAGCTATTTTTAATCCAACAGGCTCACACATTTGCCCAATACTCAAGGGATATAGATAACACCATGCTCTATCTATTAGCGAACTCCTCACACTCAAAACTCATTAATTTCTCTCTAATTTGACATGCAATTTTCTGTTATCAAAATTCTTCTTGAGTCTTGACCAGTGCTTGATAATTACACTCATGGGAGAGGTAGGATTTCTTTAACATACATAATATTTGTTATAGATTGCTGTCAAGTATATGCTTTAAAAAAATAAGTATTTTTCTTGATTTAACACTTTTTTAATAAGGACAGTGCAATACTCTTACATTATTTGGGATGTGTAAATGAATAGTAAAAAGACACATTTTTTTTAAAATTTCATTTAAATCAAAGGTCACAGTGACCTTGAAATAGGTCACAACACACCTTCTACCTAAGATGCATAAACTGGCCAAGTTTGATGTTTGTAAGTCTTATAGTTTTCTAGTTATGGGCCGGAAAGGATTTTTCCATATTTGGCTATATCTTCTTAATTAAAGGTCAGAGCGACCTACTTTTTGTGCGCGACACACCTTCTACCCAAGATGCATCAGATGACAAAGTTTGATAATCCTAGGCCTAATAGTTTTAAAGTTATGAGCCGGAAACGAAAAGCTAACAGACAGACAGACGGACAGACGGACGGACACGAAGCCTATAACATAATACGTCCCGTCTTAAGACGGGCGTATAAAAACAATTTGATCCTTATTATGGCTCATTCTTGTGATATAAACATTTTGAAAACTACATGAAATGAGGACAATTGAATTAAATTAAATAAAGTTTAATAACATTTTGTTTTTTAATCTTTGTGGTATTTTTTTTCATATAGATATCATTGCACAATATTATGATTTTTTGGACCTCTATAAAAGACATAACAGCAAACACTAATGCATGTATATGCAAAAATTCCATGAATCATGGATCTTATTCTTAGAATATAACAAAACTCCTCATGGTTATAGCTTAATGACAAGAAAAATATCTGCTCAAGTGACCAAGCTTATAAAACGTTACCCTGTCTCAGCAGGAATTGGACAATGCTATTGATGATATTGTACAAGAAAGTAGCTAAAGGCAGATAACTCTTAAAACATTTCATGGCTTTGTGGCATTGGCAGATAAAATCTCTCTATGAGAAATAGACTTACCGAGTAAAGGGAAATAAATGACTTGACATTTAGATCTGATCTGGGCTGCCAAATTTTTGGGTCGATAGTCTGGGATAATGTGCAGAAAATGGTTGATGGAAGATAAGAAGGATTCCATGTTGTGATGGGAGTTAAAGACAACTCTGTCTGCAACTAAACTGTAAATCAAAAAAACTTAATTATTATAAATAATGAAATTAAAAGACAAATATTATGCACAGTAAAACTTGCTGGATCTGGCCATAAGCAGTCATGTAAATTTTCACTGGATTAGAAAACATCCAGATTGGAGAACAAAAATCATCACCCAAGCTGTCTAGACTACAATAAATCACTATATCTTCTGCAAAAAATGTATTGATTTTCATATGCCCACAGACAAAAAAATGAAGAAAGTGAAAATTAAACTTGTCTATCATCCAATTTTTCAGTGGAAAATGAACAATTTAGCATAATTTGGGTGGATTATCTTCACTGTAAGTAAAGTTAGACATTATCTTAGTTGTTTCTTGTATTTATTTTTATTTTCAAACGACTTTTTGAATTTAAAATATGACATTAAATATGATAAAGAGAACACCAAAATAACCGCCCCCTTTTTGCAAATTTCTAAGCGCCCGGGGCGGTTAATAGGGATTATACGGTAATCCTCATAGAAATTTGTAAACTTGTACTTGTTCGGGTCATATTTACAGTAATTACATGTATTCACTGAAAATACAATAGCAAGGAGTTTTAAACTTATAGACTGTTCAGTGAAAAATGAAATCCAAAAATCTCACCATGACAGAATCTGGTTATAGCCATGCTGAATATCTCTCTCTTTCTTTTCTCTCACAGGATAAACAAGTTGATTTTCATGAAAATAAATGATTTTCTTCAGTGGTGCCAAGTCTGGTCTAAGAGCTATTAGCTCTGCTAAATTCAGGACACTACTGCAGAAAAGGACCCTGTTAAAAAGATACAGTTTTTGACTTCATGACAATGCATCTATCCAATTCTAAGAAACTGCAATCATCAATACTGTACAATTAAATCAACTTTTATTAGAATGTGACAAGTATCCTCAAGTATCACAACACTCATGGCATTCTTTTTACCTGCCAAAATACAGAGTATGTCATATGAAATTATTTGTTGGATCATGAATTAAATATGTAGATTTTTTTTCCTAAGATGCAATAACTGAGAGCAAAGAATGATTTTCAAACTAAAAGTTGTCAAAAATAATAACTGGTTCACATTTCTGTAGCAAACAAATTCAGAGCCTCCTCTCTACTTTCTGTCCTTCCTACAGACATCTGTTTATTAACAGACAATAACTGATATCTTCAGCAGTGGTCTCCTGACATTTTGCAAAGTCCTTAAGGGCACAGTGCTCACCTGTGTTACACTGGTCCTTTCTGCTCCAAAATGATTTTAAAAATTTGCTCCTCTGTATTACTATTCTGTAGACACACAAATTCTGGAGGGGATCAGATTTCGTTCATTTGTTATCTATAACGGTTTCTTGGACATTTAATTTTGTCAATTTGAAAGTAAACCTATTCAATATATATCGTCATATGAAAATTTCGTTTGGGGTGTTTTTATAATTGTTAACAATGAAATTAACCAAATTTAATCCCCATTGAAATTTTCTGCTTTTACAGTAATATGAATTTGACCAAACATATGGGTTCACATAGCTGTCGATTTTAGACAATCCATTGGAGATTTTAACAACAGATTTTAATCAGCATATTTCAGTACACATCTTTTTATAAGTTTTCTCACTTTTATTTCAAGGAAAAGCTCTTGTTATCAAAATATATATGATATCTTCCAAGTGTTGTCATTTATCATTCTAACATACTTTAAATCTGGTTTAAAATAAATTATAAGATAATGATACAGTGGACCCTCATTTATCCGGACGCTTTGGTCCCCAGTTAATTTGTCCGGATACGTGAAGCATCCGGATATCTGAATCACCAGTTAAACAAGACAAAATAACATTTAAAAATTTCGTTCCAATGAAAAATCGTCCGGATACTGAAGCATCCGGATATCTGACGTCCGGATATCTGAGGGTCCACTGTATTTGTATTTCTAAACTGAAGATGTATAAATAAAATATATTAGTTTTCAGTATTTAGGGGAATTCACATGTCATTTCCACAGGCACTTGTTTTGGAAATAAAATTTTAACCCATAGTATAATAATAACACAAGGTATCTAACTCCGAATTAGACTCAGTACCCCCCTCCTCAGAAACGTACTCATTTACAATTTTAAGAGGGAATGTAATGGCAATGTGTTTAATACCATTGTCTTCTACGATAATTTATCTACACAACCATATACAGCAAGCATGTCTTTGTTTTCATTTTTCTCCGTAAAAAGTGTCAAAACCCAGCTCAGCGAGTGTAAAAGTCGAACTAAACCACGAAATGATATGTGCTAATCTCAGACAAAGAAGAAAATTTAAAAATTAGTGGATTAAAAAATACAATTCCACTTTCTTCCAGATTTGAAATATTGCATTGAATAAATAGAATTTGATTAAGTCTCATTTTATATAAAAACACAATGACATATTTTCAATGTAATTTTAGAAACAGATTTTTAGCCAATCAAAATCACGGTGCGGGATTAGCACATACCGTTTCATGGTTTAGTTCGACTTTTCCACTTGGCGAGCTGGGTTTTGACTCTGTTTACTGAGATAAACAAAAACAAAGTCAGGCATGCCATGTATGGTTGTGTAGATAAATTATCGTAAAAGACAATAGTATTACATTTCCTCTGAAATTGTAAATGAGTGAGTTTCTGAGGAGGGGGGTACTGAGTCTAATTCAGAGTTAGATACCTTGTGTTATTATTATACTATGTGTTAAATGGTCATTTCATATGGAATCACATGGATTTGCAATATTAAATGTCTTACTCTTATATCAGTTAAAACATAGGTAATCAGAGATTACAGAGCTCACCTCAACAAATGTTGTCTTTAAGTAAGGCAAAGTCACACAATTAACCAACAAAAAGTATACATTCCAAAAATGAAAATATTTTTAAAAGCAATTTTGATCTGATACTTTGAAATAGACCTACATAAAAAATTTAAACTACTTCTTCATGACAATGTAATGAAAATCCAGCATCTGAAGCAAATTTGAGAGTTTTCATCTCTTGATGCAGCATTTGTGCAAGTTTGGTTTATACAATGTTATATAAGCCTTATAGTTTTTGGTAATAGACCTGCAACCATAACTTTTACCTTGTCTATTATCTGAAAAATGTATGTCCAATTCAGCATCCGAAGCAAGTCCATTAGTGTGCATCCTTAGATGTATCATCCATGCAAGTTTGCTCATTATAGGGCTCATAGTTTATTGGAAATGAAACATGCATCAAAAACTTTTGATTATTCACTCAACCGGAAAATGTAGGTCAGATTCAGCATCCGAAGCAAGCCTGGGAGTATGCATCCTTAGATGTATCATCTATGCAAGATTGGTCATTAAGAACTCATAGTTCCTTGGAAATGAAACCTGCACCAAAAACTTTTGACTATTCACTCAACCGGAAAATGTAGGTCAGATTCAGCATCCGAAGCAAGCCTGGTAGTGTGCATCCTTAGATGTATCATCCATGCAAGTTTGGTCAACATAGGGCTTAAAGTTACTTGCAAATGAAACCTGCACCAAAAACATTAACCTGTTCGCTCAACTGGAAAATGTAGGTCAGATTCAGCATCCGAAGCAAGCCCGGTAGTATGCATCCTTAGATGTATCATCCATGCAAGTTTGGTCAACATAGGGCTTATAGTTACTTGCAAATGAAACCTACACCAAAAACATTAACCTGTTCACTCAACCGGAAAATGTAGGTCAGATTCAGCATCCGAAGCAAGCCCGGTAGTATGCATCCTTAGATGTATCATCCATGCAAGTTTGGTCAACATAGGGCTTATAGTTACTTGCAAATGAAACCTGCACCAAAAACTTTAACCTGTTCACTCAACCGGAAAATGTAGGTCAGATGCAGCAACCCAAGCAAGCCTGGTAGTATGCATTCTTAGATGTATCATCCAAGCAAGTTTGGTCAACACAGGGCTTATAGTTACTTGGAAATGAAACCTACACCAAAAACTTTAACCTGTTCACTCAACCGGAAAATGTAGGTCAGATTCAGCATCCGAAGCAAGCCCGGTAGTATGCATCCTTAGATGTATCATCCATCCAAGTTTGGTCAACATAGGGCTTATAGTTACTTGGAAATGAAACCCACACCAAAAACTGCACCAAAAATGTTAACCTGCTCCAAAAACATTAACCTGGTAATTCCTTTGCTGAAATTGCAGCATCTGAAACTTTGACTGGTACAATAAAACACACTAAAACCATCTTCCATGCACGTCTAATCAGTATAGGACACAGAAGTAATTAAAAAGAAAACTGCTCCAAAAAACTTAACCTTAACCTGGGACGCCGACGCCGACGCCGAGGGTATCAAATAAGCTCCCCCCAACTTCGTTGAGGTGAGCTAAAAATTCATTCCATATATATTTTAGATGATCATGTTAATTAAAACCTGATCTGTCAATGCTTATTTTTTTCCCAGGTCAAGTAATTCCTAATCATGCAAAAATCTGTATTACTGAATTTGTTATCAAACTGCATACTGTATACAGGACTTTAATCTGTACAGTGCACTTTTAATTACATTATTATAAAATTAAATTCTACATTTTATATAAAATCTAATGCCAATTTTATACAAATGGTACTGTTTCGATTATTGGCCGATGATCAGTTGGTTAAAGTCAACCGATGCTACCGATTAATCGATTCTGATTTTCAACTGTTTTGACAACACTATACCTTCACATTCCCCTCTGCAGCTATATTTTTAAAAAAAAAAAGCCCCCTCCCCTCCCCCCCAAAAAAAATTGCACTAACTTAGCTGCAGATCTGTCATAGCTCTCTGCTTGATGAAAATTCGGACAGATAAAGCAGAGAGCTACAGATCCAACCGTTGTAAAAACCTTCGATTTACGCAGACAATTTTTTGTCGCTCACTTTGGGTATTTTTTCTTGTATTTCATACTTTCCCCAGCTTTAAATATGGCATTTAATAACAAATCAAACATTTAACTTCAATTCCTGATGATTTTCTTACCTTTCAATGCAAACAAATGGCTGTTTGTGGTTACGGACGTCGAAACAGAACTCTTTTACACCGACAATACAAAACTATATACCGGACTGATTCGGACCGTTAAATAAAGATAAATAAACTTTGATAAAGTATCAAAAATAAGAGTTAAATATTTAATTAATTATAGGATACAATTCTAAAACCCAGAGAAAGTTTAAACTACATGAAATAAATACCTAGAATAGCAAACAAAAATCGTCGGCGTAAATTGAAGGTTTTTACAGTGCTTGGATCTGTAGCTCTCTGCTTTATCTGTCCGAATTTTCTCAAGCAGAGAGCTACAGTTCTGTAGCTAGCACTAACCAAGTGTTTGTAAATTTATATGAATAAATAAATCCAAGTGGCTAGATCAGTTCAAATTGGAACAGTGGTTTTGGAGAACTGAGAATTCAAAGATAAAAAAACAACAGATGACAGATGACAAAGTTTGCATGTGCATAATGCTTCAGAAATTCCACTAAATTATAAACGTTGGTAGATCTACATGTGTTTTATCATAAGATCTGATCTTTTTCACTAGTACTTCAACTCACTTGTAATTTTCGGAGAAGGGTATATTTTGAGCCAAGTACAGAGCAGCGACCCTTGATCTCCAGTGCCATTTCTTGGCTGTCATTGTAACCAAATGGCAATCTGGGATTGCACTGTAAATCATATCTATGAGCTGCTTGTGTGAACCCCCGTAGAATGGTTCTACCAAGAGATTCACCGCTTTGGTTTCCGAGGTTGAGTTCATCTCGATTCGAAATCATGTAGGATAATGAATATTTAAACTAAAAAAGATATTGAGCCGACACAATATTTTTTTTCCGGGAAAATTTTTACCTCGTACATCGATCAGCAAACCATGTTTTTATTGAATATTAGACGATTTAATTTTAAAACTAATATACTATCTTTAATGTTATTACTATTATTAAATCAGTTTTTTATTGACTTTGACCAAAGTTTAAAAAGAAAATCCAAGGATCGGCGTTTCGAAAAAAAGGGGGAGGGTTTTTTCATTCAACGACACCCCGGCCCCTGCTTACACATATAAAATTTTGTCGAACACTCTCTTCCACTGAAATAAGAACGGCACTGCCTTATAGCAGAACACTACTATTGCATTGTGTCAACCTCCATTACATTATGTCAACTCTTTATGACATTAACCCACACTACTATTGCATTGTGTCAACCTTCCATTACATTATGTCAACTCTTTATGACATTGATTAACCCACACTACTATTGCATTATGTCAACCTTCCATTAGATTATGTCAACTCTTTATGACATTAACCCACACTACTATTGCATTATGTCAACCTTCCATTATATTATGTCAACTCTTTATGACATTAACACACAGGTACTTGTGGACAGGACCCCCCCCCCCCGATATTCAGCCCCGGGGCTTATTGGACATATTATTTAAGAAATTACATTTATTACGCTTATACACCATGTGTACAACATGAAAAAATCGAAAAAACCCCAATACAATCGTTCCACGAAAAAAAAAAAACCCCACTATGGAACGCCATCACTGCCCTATTCCCCATTTTCAAAAGGTGAGTTATTTCCCCTGAAGGGAACTCTTTTACTGTGTTTAATACGCATGCGCTATAAATAAAGTCACTTCCGCGGACGTTCTTGATGTAAACATGTTTATGGTGTAATGCATCTGTCATATGGAAAAATGTTATTGTGCTTGTGAATAAAAAGAAATCTTAACTGATTCGTATTTTTTTTAAATTGTCCACTCATAGTCTCTTTCTGGATTTGTATTAATCTGTGTAATACTATAATAAGGTGCTGTGTGCCCCCCCCCCCCTTACAAAAAAAAAAAAAAAGAAACAAATTACTGATAAAATGCTGATACGTATTCGAATAGGCCTATTAAAAAAAAAAGCTAATAAGCTAATTTTCGGTAGTAGATATTCTGCAGACGGATCATCATTATTTACAAAATGTGCGGAACAAATTTTTAGTTATAAAGTTTTTTTTTCTATTATACGTCTCTGTTTTTAAGAATTAATCTAGCCTGCTGCAGCCATATTTTCTTTGTATCTCTAGGAATTTTTTGGAGACTGATGATTACCTCTGAAATTGCTGCATATACAGCAGTACTTCGTCTTCCGCGACCGATACCAAGAAACTGCGTTTTTGCTCGATTGTATGTCATAACATAGAACTTTTACTTTTACAAGAACACATTTGGTGACAATTAAAGGCCTATTTCATTTGAATTAACAGTGTTTCTAGAATTTTTTATTTGTAAAATAATTGATTCACCATATGTAGTATTAAAACTTTGAATAGAATTCTAAATGAATAATTTAATCTCATGTCCTCATGTAACAAAGAAAGACTAATTAAAATAGCATTGACCTGAATTCGTGTTACATATATCGTATAAAGTCTGAGCTGCATTTAATCAAAGTTTTAGTGTAGGATCTAAGCATATGTACATGTATATTCCGGAGTAAAATACACATTTTGTTTTAGATCAGAGAATTGAGAGCAGAACCACGAAATTGATACAATAATTTCCTAGCGTATTTCTCGTTAATTAACGGAAAACATTCTTTTCTCAACTGTTATTTATTTTTTAAGAATCCTTTCAGTGTAAGTACATGTATTTATTTTTATAAGTTATTCTTTTTTGCAAAGTGTGTAAAAAACAATATGTGAGAGAGAGAGAGAGAGAATCATGTAACCCCATGTAACTGACATACATGTACATCTGTGAAAAAATATATGTACCGTAATTTTATTGAAATCACAATTATAGTAATTCTAATAATTTTCAATTTTCACAACTGTGGTTCATGTTCAACTGTTCAACCCATTTACATATTCGTTCTATGTACCTGTACGCACAGGGGGGGGGGGGTCAAGGAGCTTAGCCACACCCCCACTTTTTTCCCAATATTACTTTTTCTATTGAAAATGTTCATTGATAGACAGGTTGCCAACCCCGCCCCCCCCCCCCCACACACACACACAGTTAATACTACGGTAAAGTTATATAAGAGAAATGTAGTATTGTATGCCAAGGAACTGGTACTGAAATAAGTAGCTTTTTCAACTTTGGGCAAGGTTTTTCTTTGCTTGTCAACTTTTCAAGGTAAGAAAAAAATATTTCTTTAGCTACCCCCCCCCCCCACTTTTAAAGACGTTGCTTCGTGTCTGGCTAATTCGTATAGCTTTCTAGAAAGGGGGGGGGGGGCTAACAGACCTTTTATAAAATAATTCATTATCTAAAAAAAATGCAAACCGTTTCCTTCTTTTAAAATTTTTAAATACAGCGTGTAAGTTGATCACTATTTTGTTGGATTATCGTAATGTGTAGTCCGCGGAAGTTAGGCTAGTGTAGAAGAGTTCCGATTTTGAGGGGAGATAACTCACTTTTGAAAATGGGGAATAGCATACAACTATGCATTTATTATGTCAATTTATAATTACGTGATGTGAACATATCTTTACGTTATGTCCATTTTTTATGAGATGATGTAAATAATATATTTTAACATCATGTCAATGCTGCATTACATGAAGTAAATACATCCTTTCATTATGTCAGCACTTCATAACTTGAAGTAAAAAATTCATTATGTGAAGTGATAATGTGTTTACATTGTGTTAAAACTTTATTATGTGAAATGAATGCAATAGTAGTGTGGGTTAATGTCATAAAGAATTGACATAATGTAATGGAAGGTTGACACAATGCAATAGTAGTGTTCTGCTATAAGGCAGTGACAGCGTTCAGCAATCCCTATTTCCTTTACCATCTTTAAATTTTGTATGAAAGGTTAAACCACAGGCGTTTGACGTTTTTAGCCTCTCTATTCATAAATAAAAATGCTTTATATTGTCTGTTTATTGTCTGACTTATCATTTGATACTCGTTTTTAGCTCACCTGAGCAGAGGCAAGTTTTTCTGATCAAAATTTCTGTTGTTGTCATTGTAAATTTTCTGGAAAAATTCTCTTGAGCTACTGGGCAAATTTCAATCAAAATTGGCACAGAGTATCCTTGGATGAAGGAGTTTCATTTCTTTTAAATCAAGGGTCTTGATTTGGGTCTCAATATGCAATCAAAATTTTACAATTGATCATACTGGAATTTTTTTTTACTCAAGAACTGCAAAGCTCCTGATGTCAATTGATAAGGAAGCACAAACTGGCTTTGTAGATTCAGGTTTGTTCAAATCAAGCCCCCCCCCCCCTTGGTTAGGGTTGGGCCAAAATGATTTTTACAAAGGAATGGGAACTAATCTGCCAAAGAATTAGTAAAGGGTTAAAGTTACTCCGGTGAGCATTGTCATGGGGGCTGCATTTCATTTCCGGAATTTTGAGCAATTATCAACTTTTCATTTCCGACATTTTTTTGTTTTCATTTCCGACATTTTTCAGATCATAGTACTTTAGTAACAGACTTGAAGACTTACCTATGAAAAATTGAAAGGAATACAAATAATAAATAAATCATTGAAATCAAAGTTCTGAGTTTATTTATAAATTTATCAATGAAACGACTGTGAAAATGGAAAATGCAGGCAACTACCTAAATTAAATTTCGAGTGATTGACTAGATGTTTAAAATAAAGTTCAGTGTGGAGCAGTATAACACATGCGTTTTCAACCGGATTAAACACTCGATTAGAGTATCTCAAGTGTCTTGGACATAAGTTTGGTGCTGTCACTGATATTTATTTTAGTGAACATTAAGTGAGGTGAAAAAGTTGTATGTTCATTGAACTCTTTTTACCTAGAGTAAGTGCTACATGTATCCATATATGTATAATATAGTTTTAATCAATATTTTGCAATAAATAATTGTAAAATTTCATTTTCACTTACTACATGAGGAAAACATGAAATTGCCGCACAGGTAAATTCCGTAAATGAAAACAAAATTATGTCGGGAAATGAAATAAAAAAATGTCAGAAATGCTATGCAGATTTCCGGAAATGAAATGCAGCGGTCATGGGCCTCTTGTTTTAAAGTGTAAACAATCAATGAGAACTTCAGTCACATGACCCATAAACATCAATTAACTATATAAAAAAAAAATATGTATTCATAAATATTAAAATTTTATTTCATGGATATTTTTGGTACATGATACTCATTTACAGATAATTTAAATGCATACTGAAAAACAATCTTTGACCACATTTGAAAGTTTATAAAGCTTTTAGGGCTGGGCAAAAATATCGATATTTCAATATATTGCAATACAATGACAAAAAATATTGTATCGCAATATGATTTTGTAATATTGATATATTGGCAATATGCTTAGATTAAGGAATTTTGTCATTAAATATAAAGTTTGTTATTAAGCCAAATAGTAAGACAGAAGTTGTTTTGAGGGAGCATTTCAGAGCATAACTTAAATGAAATCAACAAGATTTTTTTTCCGTGTTGGTCACTTATCATAGTTATGTACATTCTGCATGTAAATAAGTTAATATAGTAAGAAAATCCCATTTTAATTACAATTAAAAATATTGCAATACATATCGCAATACTGTTTAAAATATCGCAATATATCGCAATACGAAATCTCGGGCCAATACCCAGCCCTAAAAGCTTTGTAATAATAATGTTACTGTCTTCACCAAATCACAGATAAGTAAGACCAAAGACCAAAAACAGACAAATATATATGTGTGCATGCATGTAAATAAAAATTCCTGGCTAATATGGTATAAATATACCTTCAAACATTGATTGTGGCTATTTATTGGTATGAGGATAAATTGCTTCAATGGCAAACATTCAACTTTTAGAAAGCATAAGCACATTGTTAAAGCACTTTCACAGAAATAAAAAAAAAATCACAACATTTAACAATACTTATACAATGGATATTCTCAAGAAGAACTGAATAATACATGTAAATATGTACTATTAAAATGTGAAGGATTTGTATTTCATTATGCTGGCACAAGAATACTGATGACATAAAGTAAATTAACAAAAAATAAAAAAGTAAAATCAAATCATATACAAAACAATAACAGTAATAAAACAGGAAATCATAAAACAATCATATTACATGGAAAGCACTTGTAGACAGAGACAACTCAACCATCAAATATTCTCTATCATTTGCAAATGAGGTAAAGTGTGTAAATCCTTAACAATAAAATACTGTGAAATCGCCTATTTTGTGAGGGGGGATTATTTTTTTGTTGTTTTTGAGGCATGATGAGATCTACATGTTCTAGTGCACCAAGAGATTAAAATATCATATACATAACTACTCAACAATTATTCATCCACAAAATTGAATCTCCAAGAACTCAAAGTTTTTCCTCAATGTGTGATTTTTCAATCATCCATTTTTCAAAGACAATCCAGAAGTTAATAAATACTTAAAATTCAAACCATTTGTGAATGAGTAGGAAAGTTTCTTTTTGGATAAATTATATCATGGAAACATTCTCCCATCAGAGAACCATTTCAAAATCAAAATGTCTTCCTGATAGAAACTGCATGTTGGAGAAGGCCTTTGTGTACAGGATGCCAGAGTTTCTATCAATTAATGCCTGTCAGATTGAAGTTCATCTGATAAACCTTTTATGTTTTTTCTAATTTACAAGCTATTCAGCTAATTCAAGCAATGAGGCTTATGTAATTTGTTAATCTTTTCTTGTCATATGTCAATTTTTTGTCATATGTTGATTTATTATGTCATATGATAGTTTGTTATGTTATCATCACACCTGTTGACTTTTGACCTACATGTACATGTATGATAATTTATATGAAAGTTAAATAGATCTTGGAGTTGTTTTTTGATCAAATCAGCTGTGATTTGTTAATATTTAACATGCAATACATTGATATTAAAGCATACATATATAACCAAATTAATAATATTTCACATAAGGCCTAATCTTTACAAGTACAATTTCACACAAATAATCATTTATATAATTAAAATATCACATGTGAACCATACCAATAATACTAATTATTATTAAACAAAAAACAATAATATGAGATATTCTGTACCATAATTTGAAAGTAGGGGTATACAGAAATGTTGAAAAATAAGAGTGAGAGATTAGCTTGAGTATCATAAAATTTTGATCTTATGTTCCTTGAAGATGTCTGTATATAAATGTTTTAAAATGAATAATGCATTGGCAAATGTTTTGGAATCATTTTAAAAAAAAACTGTGTTTTTATCATATAACACTTTGATGTTTTGACAAGATTTCATTTGTTCTAGTCACATGATCAGCTATATTTGGCAGCAGCTTGAATGGACTCATCCAGGTATTTCATGCCTCTGTATACGTCCAGGAAGGAGCAGTAAAGTGGTGCCGGGGCAATACGGATCACATGAGGTTTTCTCTCGTCGCACTGTAAGCAAAATCATTATACAATTTTAGATCATTTGTTACTGTACCTTTTTGGAAGACATGTACTTACTGAGTTGCTCTTGGCTGACATCAAATTTGTGAAGGATTGTTATCTATCCAAAGCCTAACATTACCATGGGAAACAACTTCTCAAATCTAAATGTTACTTTTAAGTAAGAATTAGTGAAATGTAAATTATTAAAATAATTTACATTTCACTAATTCTTCCTATTCCAGTGATTGGAAAAGGAACAGTTGCTGTTCAATTTAGTTAATTTTTAAAATTACTGTAAATGTTTTATGTTTGGTGTGTAAGATATTTGGCAGAAATTTATTTTTTTAAACAAGTTAGCATTGATTTGATTTAGCGCTATCTGAATATGCTAGATATAAATGTATGATTTACAAGAATTTAGTGAAGTACTTGATTTTTTGGACTCTGCTTTCTGCTAAAATCTCTAAATAGAATACACCGCTAAATGTAATACATTTACATTACTACAGAACTTACCACAACTCCTCTTTTGGTGAGTTCCTCAAACACATGTACTACCGGTATAGAGAAGGACAGGGAGAGCTGTGCCCCCCTCTGGGAGGGGTCTGAAGGGGTAATAATGTCTACGTGGACATGTTTCCAGTCTTCTACATCCTGACCATTCCCATTGTGTGTCCCATTCTGACCGTTCTGTAGCAGTCCCCCATTGTGTGCCCCATTCTGTACCCCATTGTGTTCCCCATTCTGTTGTCCGTACTTCAGATTTATCAGGGTCTCCAGGTAACCAGTTAAAAGTAAGGATTTGGCTCGAAGCTCCTGCATGCTGGTCTTGTTGAAAACCTGTTCAAAGAATCCAATCCTTTTTCATAACAAAGTAATAGGCCTGACTTAAAATTTACTCTTTTCTTATCAAACATATTGAAAAAAAAATACTAATGTCAAGGTCATGACATACCCTCTGGTCAGCATTTGTGTAAAGTATGATTAAAATTCAAACAATAAAACCTTTAAAAAGTTGTAAATGTATCTTTTTCTTTAAATTAAATATTAAAATACTAGGTGCACAACCTCAAAACTCAAAATTATTTGTAAAATGTTAGGAAAAAATGTTAAAGATAACATCTCTGGACCAAAAAAAAGTCTACAGACAAAAATGGTGATTCCAGTTTCACCCATGACATTCATTGGGAATATAATAACTTACTTCTAAACTGGCTTTGATTGATGGAGCCAGAAATCCCGGAGTGTTTGAGAGTCTGTACTGTAGGGCTCCAGAGTATGGGCTCCAGTCTGGGAAATAAAGGCATTATTTTGATCAACTGAAAACTTTTATATTTTCATAAGCATTGGAAATTGAGACCAATTACTGTGGAACACCCTTTGAGAGTATTATGATTTTAGCAAACTGTACTTAAGAATTTAATACATATTCTATTATTTTAAAATTAAGCTCTTAGTATTTGCCAACATACATGTAAATAAAAAGTGCCTGTACATTTATTTGTCAGAAGAGCAGCTTTAATGCTTCTTTGGTACATTTTACTTTTTTTTAACAAATACAATCCTCATAGTTTGGAAGGTTGATGACCCACAACTACTAAGCTATCCGTACTATGACTTTCAAATTCCACAAGTGTGTTCCTTGTGACAAGACCTTTCTTAGATATATACAATTTTGACCTTTGAGTATGACCTATTTCTAAAAAAAAAAAACTTTGACATAACTTTTGAACAGTTCTTGTTTCTCCTGAAAGAAAAAAAACAGTAAAAATCCCACTGAGGTGCAAATTATGCACCAATTTCTCACAAAAAAAGTATACTAGGGGAATTCCGAAAAAGTGCATATTTTATTCAGCCAAATATGGTAATTAAATGCCAATAAAACTTGTTTATCTGTAATCTTCTGGCAGGAGCAAGGGAATGTATTGAGAAAAAACTAAAATGTGTACTTACTGTTGTCCATCAGAAATCTGGACTGTAAATTGTGCCCCCACCATCCTTTGAGTTTGGGGAAATCATTGTCCTTGTGTTTCTCATGAAGGAAAAATCCAGCCAGACTCCCAGCTCCACTGTTTAGGTACTGCAAAATAACATGTCATTTGTGTTGTGGACCAACATTGCTTAGGTACAGTAAAATATCCTAAAATCTGTGTTTTACTAGATAAAATTTATCTACCGATACCTTCCTACAGATTACCTATTGAACAGACACATCAATACAGTATGTGTCAAGTTCACTAAAACTGTTAAGGTTTAAGGTTAAACGCAAATTTCATGATTTTTAAAAGCTTTGACTGGTACAGTACTAAAATATCTCTCTCTCTCTCTCTCTCTCTCATTGTGTATCAATGACCTACTTTGTAAGTGCACCAAGAAGCAAAATCTACACCCCAGTCATGCAGTTTCAGCTCCACATTTCCAGCTGCATGTGCAAGATCCCATCCAACATAACAACCCTACAAAGGAAATGAGTGACAAAATTTGTACTGAAACAAATAAAAATTTAACCTTGTCAAATCTTTGGAAGCTCATGAGAAGAAAAGGTCTGTTGCTATAAAACTTAATATTTTAACAAAACAGCTTTACAATCATATTTGTTTGGATGTTTCTTTGGACATCCTGGAGAATTTTTTCCTCAGTAATAGAATCAAAGTCTCTTTATCCTTCAACTAGCTTAAGTCTTCTGCATATCTTTTTGCACTGTTTCCTGGAAAATCCTGCCATACCTTTTGTTGTCCTGCTTTGGTGATAGTGGGGATATCAAACACCTGTCCCGTGTAGTACTGTGTACCGCTGAGACAAATCACTGCAATGGAGTCCCCTTCCTCCTCAATCTTAGACAGAATATCCTCTGTATGAATAAGTAATTCCCCCTAAAACAAACAAAGTTATAAAATGACTGATACAAGCCAAACTCTTTAAAATAAGTTATTTTTCAATAAAAACAAACAAACAATGATAAATGATTGATAGAAGACATCAATGATGTTCAATATTTTGTAGTTTGATATGGAATTTTTTTCAAGAGTGAGATAACATTTTTATCATTTATATTTTTACAACTGCAAAGAATGAGTAAAACTTTTTATGACATCTTATTCCAGTAGTACAATAAATTCCATATTCAATCTAAAACATTCAATTTTTGTTCAGTTAATCATGATGTATTCTTTGTCTCTGTTGGAGGCTATGACATAATAGCGGAAGATCAAAATGATGCAGAATGAATGCACCCACCTCTCTTGGTTCCATCAATATCATGGCTGTTTTGGGGTCATATCCATGGAGTTCTATCTGACTCTCTACAGCATACTGCAATCATAAACAGCATAATACTATGTCATAGTAACAGAAAAATGCCAAGACATAGTAACAGCATAATACCAAGTAATGATAACAGAATAATACCCAGTCAAAATAACAGAATAATACAAAGCCATAGTAACAGCATAATACCTAGTCATAGTAACAGCATAATACTAGGTCATAGTAACAGCATAATACGAAGTCAGTGTAACAACATAATACCTAGTCATAGTAACAGCATAATACCAAGTCATAGTAACAGCATAATACCAAGTCATAGTAACAGCGTAATACCAAGTCATACCAAGAGATTGTAACAGCATAATACCAAGTCATAGTAACAGCATGATACCGAGTCATAGTAACAGCATAATGCCAAGTCATAGTAACAACATAATGCCAAGTCATAGTAACAACATAATGCCAAGTCATAGTAACAGCATAATACCAAGTCATAGTAACAGCATAATACCTTCTCATACCTTAGTCATAAGTGCCAAATCTTAGTAACGTCATAGTCGTAAGTGCCAAACTTAGTAACACCATAATACCGAGTCATAGTAACAACATAATGCCAAGTCAGTGTAACAACATAATACCTTGTAATAGTAACAGAAAAATACCAAGCCATAGTAACAGCATAATGCCAAGTCATAGTAACAACATTATATCAAGAATCTTTGAGGTATCAATTCTGAAATGAGTCAAAGGGTTTCTATGGTAAGAAAACACTTTCCTATTATTCAAACAGTATGAAAGTTAATACATGTAATCCTTTCATTTAACATTCATTGACTTTTTGCTTAAAGGAAAAAAAAATCCTTTATTGTATGGTGTGCATAAAAGAGACACCACTCAAATAACTTACAAATCGGTCCACTTTAGTAGTTTTTTTTCTGAACTTGGTAAGGACTACAAAAATGGTAGAACCCAGAACTTACATGATCTGAAGGAAAAGCTTTGCTTTCTATCAGGATTTTGTATCTTGTAGGTGTTGGCCGATAAAATGAAATCTGCAATATCAAACCTTCAAATCATAAACTGATTATTGTCCCGATCACAAATGTAAATAAGGGTAATTAAAAAATATTTCATTTGTGTTATGACAAAGTTTGACATAAAATTTCTACAGTTATATTGAATGAGTACAAAAATGTCATATGTAAATGGTGATATGAAACACAAGTGCAAAAAAGCCATACCAGTTGTAAGTGGAGGTTAACTGTCAGTCCATTCATAACAGCAATTTCCTCTTTCTTAGCTCCTATTCATCATAAATTGTAATGTATAATCATGTATAATGATATTTTGACACTATACATGTAGCAATGTAATTAATCTTATGTAAATTTTTCACATTACACTTAAACAGATCGAATACATGTACATATTTATATGCAAGTGTTTATTATGACCAAATTTATTTCATATTGAATATAATTTTGAAAACAAATATTCACAGTGGTAAAAAGTGTCTCTGATGAGAATGTAGCTCATAATAATAATAAAAGGAAGTTTCACCTGCAGTTCATATTGCATACTGCTTGCATATTACAATGACTAAAAACGAACAAGCTATTTTCAAGAAGTTTTTTTTTTAATTTCCTATATATAAATTTGATCTCATGTTGTGAATTCAACAAACCCAGTTGGCCACAATTTCTGCAAGATGCAGAAGGCCTTCATATTTAGTTTCATCTAAACTGGCCCAGTGATGCATAAGATTTTTTAGATCATATACCTAAACACTTAATCCCATTTACCCAACGACGATTTGATGTAAGTTTGGTCATTGTTCTTGTGGTTCTGAAGAATTTAAGAATTCGAAAAGTTTATCACAAGGACAGACCATGATGGACAACAGATAATTTTCAGTCATAAGACATATAAAAGCTCAGGTGAGCTGCTAGTGTGACCAAGGGTAAAGTTTTGCTTGTCAAATCACTTCCCTTTTTCTTTTATCATACTAATATACTTCCATCTACTCTGGAAATTAAAAATATGCAAACAAATATTTTTTTAATGAACAATTTCTGTAATTTTGAAGCCTTACCCACAATTTTCCCCATGTCTTCACAGAAGAACTCATCACAGACTGCCCAGGGTAGGTCTCCCGAGGTATGACCCTCAACTCCCCTGTCAACAGAAACATACACGTTTAAATTCTGTACTCAGAAACCTGAAAAAAATCATAACATTTGCAATTAAAGAGGCACTAACATTTGAATAAAGCTACATCAGTCTGAGAATCATATATCTTTGGACCAATTGCCAAGTATTGGATACTCTACTACGGCAAGAATTATTTACTCCAGAAAACAATGACCTTGAACTTGCAAATCTTAATCACCTTCAGATAAGGGACAGGATACACCCTTTTGTCAAAAATAATCTTGTATTCATACATTATCAATAATGTGCTTTTCATGTCATATTTCTCAGTTGTCTTCTGAATAATAACCAAACTCTTCTAAGTTATAAATTTTTTTATCGGTACATTATATCAGGTCTTCTTTGTGTAAAGTATTAATGAAACCTTGTTCTGATAATTAAAGTGACAGAGATAAGGAATCTGATGTACCTTATAAGTACATGTGTATATAAACCAGAACTAATGGGTACCATTCAGTTTTTATTCTTTTCTTTCTATGCCAAATACATTATATAGATTTTTTTAAATCCAATAATTGAATTATACATTCATAAATCAATTCAAGTTACATTCATTGGTCATGGTTCAGTTATTATTGGAACATATATAATTTATAAAAGCATCATAATAATCTAAGTCCGTATATTTAATACACTTCATAAAAGTGAACAAGGAAGCAGTATTCAAAATGCATCAGCAGTGAATTAAAGTGATAAAACAATGATTTAATTGTAATTTATATCTGACAACACAAATAAGGATGTAGGAGTTCTATATAGACACAGAGATGCCTTATACAAAATAGTTATATAAACCGGCAGTGACCTTGTATAAAACTTGGATCACATGATGATCATTTCACCATTATTCAACCAAAAAAAAAGCTTTGCTTGAACAACCCCAGTGGGCCCTAGGGGTGTCAGTCAGGTAGAAATTTTCACCTGAGGTCAGTGCGTTTACCTGTAAAACCATGAGGTCAATAAACGCAGTCAGGAAAATCAACAGAGATTCCCCCGTCAGCCAAAGACTGATTTCCTATAACAAGGGAGATTTATGTGTTTAACTGATCTCTAATATGCATTACTTAACCTACAGAGCTTCAAGCTGTGGAAAAAGAACCTCTGAATTCAACAATTTCCCTGCTTACGTAAGTACAAATATTGATAAATTGCTTAATCTTACTAAAAAGTATTTGCTCTACCAATAATTTCATTCAAGTGTAGTACTTGTAAGTGTAATACTTACTGGAAAAAGTTATTTTTATCAAAATATAAGTATAAAGTATTTAAAATATGTGTTATGTTCTGTTGGTCATAAAACAGAAATTTAATGTTCTGAATGTGTTTAAAGAAAGGTCAGTTGGACTATCTTTGAAAAAAAGACTTGACCCAAAATAAATGTAGATTATACTTGGTTAAATTTCAATCTGTTTGCCATGGGGTGACAAAAAAAGAACTATCGGTTTAGTTTATCTTACATAGACCTTTGTACATAGCTATACCCATAAAACTCTCAAGGGATGTACTGCATAATGCATGAAGATTTTTTTTCGCTCTTTAACATTTGTACTTTTAATTTAACCAATACATTTAACTTCAACCAAATAATATTATATATAGTCAAAAAAGTGCAAAATTTTGAATCTTTTCACTCTGATTTTTGCTGTCTTTGCAATTGATGAAGTACATGTATTTTTAAACCTATACAGCCCACACCTTTTATCTTATTCCAAATATCCACCTGAAACTTTGTTATTTTTTCCTTGAACTAGCATCAACTTCTTTCTATGTAAAATCTAAATATCAGCTGAATCATTGGTTATTAATGTTGAAATTGCTTATAAATTATTCATACCCTTCCAGCTTAATCAAGAAGCATTGAACTGTGCATTTCTGCTCTAAATCATACATGCACAATAAATTTTACTTTGGAAGGAACTGGAGATATTAACACCATTGTAGACTGGTATAGTTTGTAACTGATTTAGAATTCTCTTTAATCCATTACTTTGCTGCAATTTTATATGAAAGTTTCCTATAAAAAAATCATTTTTTCATCTAAGCAATGTATATATTACAATGTGTCAGGAATACCTTCTCAGAAATATTTTAATCATTTCTTTGTAGCTTTCTCATACACATTACACCTTAATTGCGCTCTGGTAGCAACTTTAGTGTACCCACTTTACACATATGACAGATTTAAAAAAAATTTCTGACTTTTGCTAAATGAATATACTAGTATATAAATTCTGTGTATTATAGTTGAGAATAACTGAAAACTTTCACCTACAAAAACCTCTGTCAACTGCAGTACAGAGAAGTTGGCAATGGTTTTCAAGGAGCGAAAATTTAAATGTTACCCTCAAACTATAATGCAGTTTTATTATGCTATATATATATATACTGTATGTTTTATACAAATAAAAATCAAATTGAAGAGCAGGCGCAGAGATTCTGCATATTTTTTTTTAAATATCACCCCTTGTCAAGCAATGTTGATGTTTTCTGAGTTCTAGCTATTGCACTAGTGGACATAGTTTCATTATTCAGAGAGTAGCAGTGTTTTATAACAAATCAAATGATAAGAAAGAATAATTTTCAAACTAGCATGGTTAACTAAAGTCTTTGCACAATTTCTAGATTTCCCAGAATTTGCAGATTCTGCCTCTTAAATCATTCAGATCATTCTTTATGTATTAGAAATATGTTTTATTTCAAAATTTGCTCTTTTACACTAAGCTCTTTATTTGACATTAGAATTTGACCCTTTTGCTCAGGTAAATGTGATGTCATAAAAACAAACAATAGAAAACATGCCTGTCCCTCACACGTAGCTAGCACGTGAAAGCCTTGAACTGTAGCGAATGTTAACCTGTCAGAATCTGACATAGTTTATTTGTATCATGCATATAAAAAAGCTAGCACACATTCATTTAACAGACATTTGAACATAAATTAATATAAACTTTTCAAAAATTAGTTCAGCTTTTTCTTTGGCTTAAGTTATTCCAAAGAACCACGAACGATAGCATTGTTCTCCCGCCTACCTCTAAGTCAATTCTCAAAATTTAACATATTCGAATGATTTTCAATATTTTTATAGATATTTATATGAATTTTCATAAAACGTTACTTATTTGGGATACTAAAGAGAGATAACTCTATAATTTTGGTTAAACTTGTGTTTTTCACTATAGAAATCAACGGAAAATGGAAAATATTTTTAAAACATCTTTCCCCCCCGTGAAACAAAAATTCCTTTTTACAGGTAATATGGACTGTCAATTTACAAATTCATGCCAAAGCTTTTTGTGTTTCACGGGGGGGAACACATGTTTATAGACAAAAAACGAAAAAAATGCTGATTTTTCACCAATTTTAAAGCTATTTACAACTAAATAATTGTATTTTATTTATTTATATATGTTTTATTTATTTGCATAAAACATAAGAAAAGATATGAGATACATTTTATGATATTTAAGACTATTTCAAAATATGGCGATTCTTGAAAGTTCGATTTCACCAGAAAATATCGCCTACCCCCCTTTTTTCAAGAGCTGGAATTAATGATTATTTACTATCTAGCGCTGGAAATAAAATGATCAATCAATTACCATAGAACTGTTCCTTGTATTGAAGAAAGATTTAATGGCTATATAAATTGCCATTAAAATTGAATTTAATGGGTGCAAAATGTAGGCGGGAATCAAGAGTTAGAGTTCGTAGTTCTTTAATGTGCAGAGTTTTTAAATGCACTGAATATCATGCATCTTTATATAAATATGATGGGTCAAGCATAATCGAGATTATGTCCCCTTCCCCACTCCAAACAAATCATACCTATGGCACAGGCACAAAACGATATGAACAATATATGACAGATAATTTGAACATAAATTCACATAAATTTTTATATTAAATTGATTGGAATTTTAAAACAAAATCTTTAAAAATTGAAAAAGCTTTCTTTTTTTTTTTATTCTGCAAGAACAATCTGACTCAAACTTTAAAAATACCAGTAAGGACATGTACCAAAACCTCCCTCATGTTTTATTAATAGAGTCATTTTATTCTATTTCAAGAGAGGTCAAAATTTATCCTATGTCAGATTTTACATGGAAACACTACACTATACCAAACTACATTATAGTATGCATCTAATTTAGCATTTAAAAATATCTCTTCACAGCTGTAGGCAGTTGAAAGTTTTTAGAAAAATTTGACATTTACCATTCATACACACATGTATACGGGAAGGATAAAAGATTTTCAGCTGTAAAATTACTCCATTCTAATGTTTAATGACCCTTTCTTTAAAATTTTACATAAAAAAATATAAATTCAAAACACTGATTATCAGCAAAGCCTTAATAGATTCCAATGGGATACATACTACTGAACCCTGGATGGAGTATTCATTTTCTAAATTTTTAAAATTATTATTAAATTAATATCTAAATCACCTAATTAGGAGAGATTTCGCACAATTAATTAACTTTTCAGTTTTTTTCTATTGTTTTTTTTTTTTTTTTTTTTTTTTGAAATCTGCATTTTGGAAATATTAAGGCATTTTTAGAAATGGTCAAATAATAACCCAGTGATGTACATTTTTCTTTCTTAATTGTTTATAAAACAAATCAATATCAAAATATCATCTTAACATTAGGGTAGAGGATATCTTTAATACCATACTGTGTGTTGATAACTTATTAAATAAATTCACATCACCAATGGCTAATATCAACCACAGGAGTTTGTGTACCTATCAATTTTACCGAAATTTTCAGTAAATAAAAAAAATATGTAATACCAATACGTGAACTCCTGTGTATAATCAACTAAACTTGGCAAAAAATATCCCAAGGTGAATAGATTCAACTTTCTTAAATTAAAGGGTCATGGTTCTTTCCTGGGCAGATATGAAGAAAAAGGAACTCTGGATTGCTTATATTTGGAGACTGATGGTTCCATTCCTAATTTCAACACTATTTCAACACCATGGGCCATAATGCTCACCTGATTAACTTTGAACCTGTAGTTCGGCTTTTCTGGCCCAGTGATTCTTGAGAAGAAGTTTTTTAATGACCTCACCCTGTTTCTGTCTTTTTTAAATTATCCCTCCTTGTAAAGGGGCTTGTTCCTTCAATTTAACATTTTAAACTCAAAATTTAGCGCAATCACTGGGCATTCAGTTATTGATGTATGCATGAATTAGCACTACACACTTCCAAGATGTATATTGTATTTATAAATTATTTTTTAGTGGTATTCATAAATTAGTCCAGGATTGTCTGCGCCGAAGCTGAAAAATATGAAGTCCGCTTTTTTAAGTACACGTACAGAATATCCGTCAATGTGAGTGTAAATTTAATATTTTGCTTATTCTGTCCAGTCCTTGTAACGTCAAAATATAGTTCAAGACAACATTCTAACATCTCTGTCTGTGATGTGGTGTATCAAATGTTGATGCTCTCCAAACATTTTCTGAGTAAAAATATTTGGAATGTAAATATGCCTTTTGCAGAATCATGTTTTACTGGATACATTTTACCCATATAAAAAGGTAACTAAATTAATGCATTTTTTGAAAAGTAAAACTTGCATAACATAATTTAGTAATTTTATTTATTTAATATTTCAAATTCATCAAAATTAAAAGAAAAGCTAAATATGCAATTTTTTTCAAAATGCAATATGCTTTTAACAATCACAAAGTAAAATACTCACCTTTTTTCCCACTTGTTAACCTCGACAAGTGTGTATTCTCGGAACTTTTTTGGACAGAGTCCGAGGGAATTTCCACAGAAATATACACAGTCTTCCTCTGGGTCCACAAGGCTTAAATCGGCTGGAGAAAAAGAAAAATCAGCTAAAGAAAAAGAAAAATCAGCTCAAGAAAAACAAATATCAGCTAAAGCATAAAAACATTAAGGGTCTAAAAATAATAATCTTATACTCCACACATACTTTAATTAAAAGTCAAATTTTATTTATTTTTTTTTTTGGGGGGGGGGGGGAAGCATTTGATTCTTACAGCTTATCAGTGTGTTTCTTCATCACCCTTGTGTTTTAAATTCTGATTCTGTTTAGAAGACCCCTCATACAACTCCAACTGCTTGAAAAAATGAGGGGGTTGGGTTGGGGGGGCTACTCTACGGAATCCCTTTCCCCTCAACAAGTATTTCAATAATTGCTAAAAGGAAATTCAAGACACTAGCCCTGTAGGCTAAGTTAAAGTCTATCTCTGATATATTCCTATTAAATGTGACATGAAAAGTTTATCAAATTAACTTTATCAAAAAAAAAATGAATAAATAAAAGAAATTAATATCAGAAGGACAAATAAACATCTATATAATAATAAGAAAATGTTTACTCTTTGGTAAGTCCTTCATCTTTGGATAACAAAAGTCCTCCCTAAGGTGCCTCAATGAGTCAATACTGTCCATGTACTCCGCGAACTTCCTGTCCGTTAATTTAAGTCCCTGGTCGGCGGCAATCTTCTCCAAACTGTCCCTAGGGTGGGGCATCTTAATTCCATTCAGCATCTTTTTGGAACTTGGAACTTCTGTGCCATTCATTAAATTTCCTGGTCTTTCATTTAGAACTTGGGCCATGCTTGTCTATAAAAAAAGTCATAACACATGAGTGCCATCAATATCATGTATAGGTCAAGGATTTGAAAAAGGGGAGCAGGATTGATTTTTTGATGCAATAATCAACTAGATTTGTGATCACACAACATCTAACATTGAAAAATTTCACTTAATTTTTAAAATAGCCTCTTCAAATGGAAAAATCTCCCTCTTCTCTTCAAAATTATTGAAAAACTCTTGATTACTGTAAAACTTAGTTTGCAATGATACACTCATAAATACTCATGTAATATGTCATTAATGATAACTTTTCTCTGTTTTTAAATTAGTTGAGCTACTGTCTGGCCAAGAATTATCAAGTAAAGACCTACATTGTCATGATTTTTTGTGCAGGGAATTTATTAGGGGAAAGGAGCTTTGCAATGATTAATTTTTCTTTTTGTTCCATTGGTGCTCTCAAACAACAAATTCAAGTAACTAAAGACAATTTACAATGATACAATGAAGACTTTCTCAAAATTTGGACAAATTCAGTTAGCTAAAAAGATTATCATTTTTGCAGAATGCATCAACTCTTTGGAATATGGGCCATATCTGAACCTACTTGTGGAATTTTAAGTAAATCTTAATAATTCAATTAATAAGAGAGTTCATTGTATCATCAGATTTTGTCAATTGATGCATCTTATGGTATAAAAGTCACAATAAACTGCTTTTTTTAATAGGAATTTTAAGCCTTTATCTGAAATGAACCATTAAACTTTGTGGTGCTGCATCTTGGATTCTCATAGCTAGTCTGTTAACCACGATGTAGGTCACGATGACCTGTTTTTGAATTTCCAAGGCTTTATCTAAGAACTAAGAGTTTTAAAATAGAAGTGATAGATTACACATCTTCAGGATATACATACCGAAATGCAGAGAGTTGAAATTCAAATCTGCAGTCCTAAATCAAGTTTTCCCTACATTGGACACTGAAGTCCACAATATTGTTAGGAGAATGTGCCTAGATAGCCTACAAAAATCTCTGGATGCATAAGGCCCCTTGTGGACCAACACATGTACAAAATCTCAACTGATTTATAAAAGTACATGTAATAGGCCCCTGGACCTTGGCAGTCACCTGAGTAATATGTTTCTCTTGATATGACTTACTCAACCCTATCTGGTACTTTGACTGATTACGGGTTTTAAGGCTTTCATATACTTCAATCATGTGCATTCCTTGGGGCAAGAACTACCTTTGGGAACCATCATATTTAATTAACTAATTGACCTTGACCTTGGAGTTTGACCTACTTTTGCATATTGCCACTCTATAGCCTTTAGAGAGTTAATATCAATTGAGACAATTCAGATCTTTTATTAGACCTGCATGCAAAGGATAACAGCAGCTAGGCAAGAAAAAAGTGTTGGCCAGACTTGGACTCGAACCAACAATCTCCTGGTCTACCACTGTATGAGAAACCAACATGATGAACCCAAGGCTCTAGCTGTTACATGCTTTTCTCCTTTTCCTTGCAGTTTCATTTCTACATGAAAACCTCATGTAGGTATATAAAGACACTTCTTAAAACTCCCTGTGGGATTTGTTGTTGGGCACCAAACATAAGAGGTGAGGAAATATAAAGTATCAATAGACCAGAATTTGAGCATAGGACCACTCTTAATTCTGTAGGTGCTTGACCTATGAGCTAACAGCTAATGTACCCAATCAGCATCAAATTAGATATTTTCATATCTTCTGGCTCAGGGGTCATAAAACTTAGATGTGCTCACTTGAACTTGGTCTCACTTATACAAAAAGAAATTATATATAATATAGTGGCATAGTGAGTTTGAGAACTAAAATAAGTCCATCCAAGATCAATTGCCCCACAGCCTATATAGTGACTCGATCACATCATTCACCTGTCTGACTTTACAGTGATCCATGGATGGAGGAATGTAGCAGTAACAGAAGTTAATTTGTCACTAATATAGCTCAGCTCAGAGAGATCCTGTATAAGTTGGGGGAGGGGGGAGGGGGGAGGGGAGAAAGAGTCTTAGCCTGGTCCCCTGGCTCATCCTTGCCAAGGCAGGAGAGCCAGGTGGATTACATTATATGCTTTCCTTTGATTGGTCAGAACAATGCGCGCTAAATCGTGGGTTTTTGAGCCGTTGCCGTTAACCACGGAAATAAATATCGACGTAACAATGACACATTACGTCGACAACGTAGAAAAATACGACGTCACAATGAACGTCTTTACCGGAAGCGCAGCCATATTCAACGTCACAATGGGCTAAGATTCAGGGCAGATTCGCCCTAAATCCATTGTACTCCACCTGGCCCTAGTGATGCGGAGTATACAAAGCAAAACAGGGACAGGGAACCAGGCTAAAAGAGTCTCTGATAAGTCGATCATCTCAATAAGACTCAATTTCCCTCTTCCTGTTACTTATTTTACTCATTAGACAAAATTGAGCATATATTGGCTATTTCTCATTTTCTACTTCTGATCAGGTACTTGATCCTTCCATAAGTATATTGTAGACCAAACTGCAGATTATTTATATTATACTGGCCCTTTACATCATAATATTATAACCACAACATTGTTAATTGACGACGTTTTCCCAGTTGTTTACCTCATGACAAACCCTTTCTTTTGACATTTTCGTAAATAGAACTTTAAACAAAATTAAATTTACACAGCTGATGAATAGAATTATATATCCTTATATCCATCTCCCAAACTGACCCCTACCTATATCGTAGGTCCATTACCTTAAATTCTATGACCGTCCTGTTTTTCTCTTCGTTATAGATTTAAAGGTGTGTGACAATCGCGCAATCTGATTGGCTAACAACTCGGACCCTGGGCAACTTTTTCTGCTTTATATTAACTTAAGTTATGATATACATAAACATAACAAGGAGTAATAAACATTGTTTTCACAAATACCTTTCAGATATCAAATCAAAATAGAATTCAGTCAACAGGTCTAATAATGCATGTTCTGCAACCTTGACATTCTTGGGGTAAGCCGATCCCGATCAAAAATATGTCTTCATTGATAGAAGAGCTAAATTATTTATAAACATTGAAAGTGAATTTTTCCTACTTCTAATGTCGGGGATTTCCATGATTTATTGGATAGCACAAATTAAACATGTTTAAAAGACACATGATATTCTTTTAATTTGAAAAAATTGAGATAACCAAGATAAGATAATTATTCTTCCACTGGTACCTAATTCATAAAAATAAATTTAAATTATAAAAAGTAATTAAATATATTTTCAATTGAATTTTACTGCGGTATATTATATCTAACACAGTAGGTAGAGAGGAGAACGTACAATTTGATAAATTAGTGTTTTGTTATAAAGAATTGGAGATTGATCTCTGGCAATGTTAATTGTTAACAATTATACCCTTACATACGAATACAACTGTTTTAGTATCTTTTTATACATTAATTACAATCAATTGTCCAACATAGTGTTTTTCTTCATTTTTTGAATCCAGTTCTATAGTTTTTAACAAATCAAATGTTGCCCCCCCCAATACTCAGTCAATAAATGTATATGTAGATGTATAAATTTACAGACTATAAAATGGATATATAGTAGCAAAAATACTATCAGATAGATTAAAATATGTCCTGTCTAACTTAAAACTCCCGGTCAAAAGGGTTTTGCAAGGAAGAAATATCAGTGATGTCAAATATATACTACATAGATTTTGCGGATAAGGAGAAATTTAGAAAATATAACTTATAATATGGAAAGACATTCTTTATATCTATCAGCTCCTTATCTTCGAAACACAGTCACAGACACCTGGCGAACGGATGGTGTAAAAAAAAGTGTTTCTTACCTTCAGTATTTTTATATACCGTATAGACACAATCTCTAAGTCTTAACCAAAACGGAAAATGATATCAGATATTGAAATATAAGAATGATAGACTAGGAAATCATGTATTTTTGATAAATTTTTTGTCTAATAAAAATTCTCAGAAGCGGGGGTGGGGGTGGGGGGGTGGGGGGTGGGGTGGGGTACACCATCCATTCGTCTGTTGTCTGTGCACATAATAAGTCAAGAAAACAACCGCATATCAATTTATAACCACAATTCTCTCTCTCTCTATCTCCCCTATCAGACATACATATAACTCTTTATCTTGTGTTCAAGGTAAACATTCCAACAGTTTATCTCTTTACGGGTGTCTAACGCTCCTTTTCTAACAACAGATAAAGGGACGGGCGTTCCATTGACTTGTTAACATGTTGGATTGGGTATGGACCCTGGAACACATTCTGTTCACCTTTATTATTGTGATTTTGACGTTTGTTTACATTAACAGAGGATGGGAGGAGTTGGTGAGAATCCTGGTTATAGGGCTGAAGCAGCTGCCAGGGGTGGAGGAAATTCTCCGGTACGTACTCCGTCAACAGGTCAAGGACTTCGTTCAAAATTCTACTCTGAGGAAAAGTGATGGGTCCGCTCCCAAGGTTCTCATACCCAAGAAAGGTATCTTAATGATTATCATTTATGTGACAATGTCATTAACCAATGATCAATTCATAATGATGCAATAATTAAAATTACAATGAAAATTCGCATGCACTGTAATATAATAAATGCAGTGCACTTTTATAAATATAAAAGTGGGTTGTTAAGTAGAACTCGTCTATCAAAGTTAGGGCCCAAGCGAAATGTGTGGAATAATTGTCAAATTGTGACATACCAAAAGTGATAATTTATTTTCTCTGCATTTATATGCAAATCGCGTCATTTTTGTACACTTGTATATATGTACATATATATGTGATTTTCCAAATTCTAAGCGAAGATGACGTTTTAAAAAAATAAACTTCGCCAGCCAAATTTAAGGAATATTTCAAAATTTTCTATGCCCTGCAATGAATATGGCCACGGCACACACACTTTAGTGTTTGTCATGTCCGTCTTCCGTCCCTCCACCTGTCCCTTCATTTTGCATTTAGCTCTGTTTGAAAGAAACTTTTCAAGATATTTTTTATCAGACTTCATAGGCATAAACAATTCATATTGATGATAGCTGTTCAATTTCATCAACTTTTTCCCACACCCACGGATCGAGAAATTCCCGTGTCTGCCCTTCTGGGCTTTCCATCTAATCGAACACACTTATAATTTAGACTTTTTCTAGCTATAGTAATATTCAAGAATTTTATCCATATTTATCCATCACGGCCGTAGGAGCCTGGGATGGGGGTGGGGGGCTTAAAGAATTTTTGGTATTTGATAGTGTCCCCATCTGAAAACATATGGCTGCCCCCCCCCCCCCCCCCCACTGAAATTTCTTCCTACCTGTATACCACTTACGCTAGTTCACATATTCTACTAATGACAGCACATTGCATGGTATTTTCTAGGAGTCCCTACGGACGAACTTCGGAGGGAGCTGGTGGAGCTGAAGGGAAAAGAAACTGACCCGGAGGAGGGGAAGATCTTCGCTTACGTCTACACTCAGGAGGATGATCACTTCAACATCCAGACCGAGGCCTTCCAGAGCTTCCAAGGTACTGTCCTTATAGAATGCCCCAGGGTCAAAAGTTTTAATTAGTATTTAATTATTTAGCATGCACAATTCTTGAATAGATAACCCGCCCCCTTCCGGCAGCACACAACGGACAGACAGCTTATTTTGGACATATTTTAACCGCTACATGTATAATAGCAAAGAGTTAGTTACTAGTAAGTGAATTGTGTACGAATAGGGTCCCTTACTTTATCACTCTAAGGAAAAGAGAACGATAGTGCTAAGGAAAAAAGAACACGAAAACGGCGATAATGCATGGATAATGGTAATCTCGAGTCCCCATCGTTAAAGATCGCGTCTCTCTCTCTCTTTCTCTCTCTCGCCCATTTGAGATACTGCACTGGCGTTCTCCTTGCCCTTTCATAAATTCTATAGCACTAAGAAGTATGTCTACACAATTATAGTTTGCTAAGCCCCCAAAATTACCGTCTACCTTACAGATTCCTGTACAAAGTTACTAAGCATACAAAGTCATTCTCATATCTATACCTACAAAGATATTACATATAACTGTCTTATGCTAAGAAAAAGTACTTAATGGAGGTACTCAGTTTGCTTAGTCCTCTACACTACCGTCTGTCTTACAGAGTCTTCCTGAGAGCTACCTAGCTTGCTAAGTCGTTAAAATAACTGTCTAACTCAAGGGGTCATCTACAGAGCTACATAGCTTGCTAAGTCATATAAATAACTGTCTTAAATTTAGAAAAAAAGTCCTTAATAGAGCTACTCAGTTTGCTTAGTCCTCTACACTACCGTATGTCTTACAGAGTCCTTTTGAGAGCTATCTAGCTTGCTAAGTCCTTTAAAAACTGTCTAACTCAAAGGGTCCTCTATAGCTGCAGAACTGTAGCTCTCCAGAAAAAAATATTGACAGACCGTTCTGACAGAGCTACCAAACTTGTTAAGTCCCCCAAATTACCGTCGATCTTACAATCGAGTCGTTCTGAAAGCTGCCTAGCTTGTTAACTCTTCTATATATGTCACGATTGTGACAATTATGCCGATTGTTTTATATAGAATTCGTGTTACCCTGTTTGTACATTGTACTTTTCCCCATTTGTAGATCGCATAAATGGTTAAATTTCTTATAATTACTCACTGTACTTACATATCTAGAAGAATATAATCTTATGATTATAATTTTATTATCCTGGATGAATATCAATATTGTAATACGCTAGATTTGTTGTAAATATCGTTTCTAACTCTGTAACTTTATTTATAGATACCGCCATCATGTTGATTATTTTGTGGAATATCACGCCCGATTCTAATTGTAATTTCTCTGTACTAAGCATTTTTATCGAAATCTAACACTTAGGGAATATTGTCATATTGTATAAATGTTTTACATTATGATTGTCATATTTTTATGTGGATTATCTATTGTTATTATTAAACATTATTCGACAATGATTATTGCCGGTGGCTGCCGGTGACTGCCGGTGGTACCGGAGATCTGCCGGTCGTCCCTTGGAAAGCGCGTGGGTCTCCGGGGAGACTCTCCAGAGCTATAAAAACAGAGGATAAGAATTGCCGGTGGGACTCGGTGTTAGGATTTTGAGGTTAGAGGGTGTTTTATTAGATTCTTAGAATTTTTCAGTAGGAATTAAGTAATTTTTGAATTTATTCATCAATTTTTCTTATAGTGATTATGGGTTAATCTCGTATCACTATTAATTACTAGTATTCATCGTAGGACGTTTATATTGGGTTAATCTCGATATTAAACGATTAAATAATTTTGTTACGGTTTGACTGAAAGTGAGTCTTGAAGTCTTTCCGTGTAAATAATTGTTTATCTTTGATAGATTTTAGGAATTCAATCAATTTAAAGTGATAATCTAGTTGCGTTTATAGGAATATTCAAGCAGGAATTAAGGCTAGGATTTGATATAGAAATTATAGAGATAAATTTCTTGCTTTAAATAGCTTTTATAGATTGTGTAGATTCGTTCAGAAATACTTTGGTTATTCTAAGGTATTTCTATAGTATTTATTACTCACTATTCGGGTCATTCTCGTTTAGTGCGCCCCCCCCCTTTTTATCGTATTAACGTAATACGAAGGTTGTGTTAGTGTAGTAATTCATTGTGAATTTGGGTGATTCCCGACTTCCATTGAATTTTATTGTAATTGAATACTAATTAAAACATATTGTGACTTTTATTTATTGAATAAATTTGTAAACTTTAAATAAGGCTTATCATTTAACTTCCCCGTAGTTATTTACGAGTCCAAACACAGGTTATTCTTGTGTTATTATAGGAGATCTTTATTTACGGGTTATTCTCGGAAATAATCACAGTACTACATGGGTTATTCCCGTGTAGGCTTCTAAGGAGTACTTGTGTGTGAGATCCAAGCAGCTCAGGTCCGTTACATTTGGTGGCAGCGGTGGGATCTGCCAAGTACATAGGTGGATCCAGAGATACGTAACCCAGAACCAGTGTTGAGAAAAATCCATGCATAGGTACTATACCAGATCCAAGACTAGGATGGAGCCATCCATTAATCCCAGACATTCCAGAGGACAACCCACTGATGAGGAACTCCTCATAGATTTATCGCCATCAGCGTTAAACAGATCACTCCGAGGGGAACAGAGCATGTCCAACAATGACAACTCTACAGAGGATGAAAATGACTCAGACACCCAGGCTAGAGTATCAACGCCTACACGCAAAATAAGGAGATCCAAAAGGACCGTGCGTCAGCAAAGGGAGATAGTCCCTACAGACACAGAACTGTCGGAACCTCTCACACAGTCAACCCACAATAATTCTGTCACAGACCCTATGAAGCTAATGATGGAACAGATGGCCCAGACAATGAAAGCCATGCAGAATATGATGGAAGCAACAACTCAAACTCTCAGACAAGTAAGCAACCAGACAATGAAAGTCATGCAGAATATGATGGAAGTGACTACCCGAAATCTAGGACAAGTGGACAGCCAGACACATACTACAAACAGCAAGCTGAAACCTAGAATATCGAGAATCAATTCAAACAACAACAAGTCAGAGACAGAACCTAAGGAAAGCAATCATGAGGAATCAAATGAAGATTCAGAACAGTCTGAAAAGGAGCAATCTGTCAATTCAATTGCCACAAGGGATTTGTTCGAGTCGAAGAAGTCAGATAGCCACAAGCTTGACTGTAAGCTTCCGCCTTACACAGGTTCCGAGAAATGGAGAGTTTGGCTGAATCGCTTCGAGTCTGTAGCCGAGTTGGCCGAGTGGACTGCTAAAGAGAAGTTACAACAGATATTACCAAGAATACAGGGAAATGCAGCTGATTTTGTTTTTGGTCAGCTGAAGAAGGAGACTATAGGAAACTATGAGACCTTAGTCGCAGAAATAGAATCCAGATTTGGAACACTGGAAAATAAGAGAGTCTACAAAACTCAATTCAACAACAAAAAGCAAGGAAAAGATGAAAGTCTTGAAGAGTATGCTGCTGACATTAAACGTCTTTATGACTGGGCTCACCCTAGTAGAGATGCCAGCACAAGACAGGAAGACTTAATTTCAAAATTTTTGCAAGGACTATGGGATCCTAAGGCAAGGCAATACATCGAATTACACAAAGAACCATCAACAATTGAAGAGGCAGTACAGCAGGTAGCTGCTTATATGTCAGTGACATCCAATTTAAACACAAATGAAGAGAGACACCCTATTAGACAGACTAAGAATTATGGAAAGGGAGACAATTGCTATGCTGAGAAGAGAAATGCAAATCCCGTGAAGATGACGAAAGGGAATTGCTTTATTTGCAGCATGCCCGGACATCATGCCAGAGAGTGTCCGGATAGAAATTTTCGCAGGACAGAGAGATCACAGTACAGGAAACATCCTGAGAAAACTATGTCATCATCTCTACCAAGTAAAGATGACCAGCCAGAGACAAACCAAAGCCAAGCTACAAGTACAATGTCACCTGATGCACCAGAATTTCAACCAAGTCAACAATCAACATGGAATGGACACTCAGATAACGATTGCGGAGACAAACAAGAGAAACTTTTAAACTAGAAAGGGTCAGCTCCGGAGGCCAAGAGACGACCCAAAGTAACAAAGGCCAAAATGACTGTAAAATTTTAACTGAACCTATTTCAAGTGGAAATTTAGATGAATCGGGGGAGAAAATTGAAAACCAGGGGAAATTCCAGCCTTGCGTCAGGGACGTTTCAAGGGAAGAGGAACTGAGTGCTCAGAGGGAGTACATTAGGAGACAGCTCCTCAAGGCGGATGGAATTTATGTTCAGGGAACAGTTCAAGGGATAAAAGTAGAGTTCACAGCAGACACAGGGGCTGCAAGAACTATATTATCCGACAAAATATTTTGGAGACTCCCCGGGAACAGAAGACCAGAGCTAAAGGAATCTTCAAGTCTTGTAGCAGTCAATGGAGATCCACTTAAGGTCTTAGGGAAGACTGAATTTGCAGTGCAGTTAGGAAATCTAGCATTTCAAAGGGAGATAATTGTTGCGGGAATAGAAGATGAATGCCTCTTAGGTATGGACATCTTGTTGGACAGTCAATTTGGGCCTGCAGTTATCAATTTGAATGACAGTTTCATTTCTACGAATGGCTGTAATATACCTTTCACAAAGGCAAGTCGAATTCAAGATGGTGCTGGAAGATTCGTGTACATGACTTTTGACAATGGCTAGCAGACCAACGTACTTTGAAAGCTACAGTGAAGAAAATTATTTAGAATGTGGTGTAAGTATGGTCAGAGTTTAGATATACGCATTTTTTAAATTTTGTTTTTATTGTTCTATATTAAAAGAAAAAATTCTAACAATTGAAGTATGTTAGGATTGGGAAACTGAGGGAATTATATGACTTTCTCTAGTGTACATTTTTTTAAATGGAAATTTATTTATTGATGGAGAAATGTATAGACAAATATTATTGTTTTTTATCTTAAGATTTTGGTGAGGACACCAAAGTTTTAAGAGGGGGAAAATGTCACGATTGTGACAATTATGCCGATTGTTTTATATAGAATTCGTGTTACCCTGTTTGTACATTGTACTTTTCCCCATTTGTAGATCGCATAAATGGTTAAATTTCTTATAATTACTCACTGTACTTACATATCTAGAAGAATATAATCTTATGATTATAATTTTATTATCCTGGATGAATATCAATATTGTAATACGCTAGATTTGTTGTAAATATCGTTTCTAACTCTGTAACTTTATTTATAGATACCGCCATCATGTTGATTATTTTGTGGAATATCACGCCCGATTCTAATTGTAATTTCTCTGTACTAAGCATTTTTATCGAAATCTAACACTTAGGGAATATTGTCATATTGTATAAATGTTTTACATTATGATTGTCATATTTTTATGTGGATTATCTATTGTTATTATTAAACATTATTCGACAATGATTATTGCCGGTGGCTGCCGGTGACTGCCGGTGGTACCGGAGATCTGCCGGTCGTCCCTTGGAAAGCGCGTGGGTCTCCGGGGAGACTCTCCAGAGCTATAAAAACAGAGGATAAGAATTGCCGGTGGGACTCGGTGTTAGGATTTTGAGGTTAGAGGGTGTTTTATTAGATTCTTAGAATTTTTCAGTAGGAATTAAGTAATTTTTGAATTTATTCATCAATTTTTCTTATAGTGATTATGGGTTAATCTCGTATCACTATTAATTACTAGTATTCATCGTAGGACGTTTATATTGGGTTAATCTCGATATTAAACGATTAAATAATTTTGTTACGGTTTGACTGAAAGTGAGTCTTGAAGTCTTTCCGTGTAAATAATTGTTTATCTTTGATAGATTTTAGGAATTCAATCAATTTAAAGTGATAATCTAGTTGCGTTTATAGGAATATTCAAGCAGGAATTAAGGCTAGGATTTGATATAGAAATTATAGAGATAAATTTCTTGCTTTAAATAGCTTTTATAGATTGTGTAGATTCGTTCAGAAATACTTTGGTTATTCTAAGGTATTTCTATAGTATTTATTACTCACTATTCGGGTCATTCTCGTTTAGTGCGCCCCCCCCCTTTTTATCATATTAACGTAATACGAAGGTTGTGTTAGTGTAGTAATTCATTGTGAATTTGGGTGATTCCCGACTTCCATTGAATTTTATTGTAATTGAATACTAATTAAAACATATTGTGACTTTTATTTATTGAATAAATTTGTAAACTTTAAATAAGGCTTATCATTTAACTTCCCCGTAGTTATTTACGAGTCCAAACACAGGTTATTCTTGTGTTATTATAGGAGATCTTTATTTACGGGTTATTCTCGGAAATAATCACAGTACTACATGGGTTATTCCCGTGTAGGCTTCTAAGGAGTACTTGTGTGTGAGATCCAAGCAGCTCAGGTCCGTTACATATAAATGTCTAACTTAGTACAGTTCTCAGGTAAGCTTGGACTTTCAGTAAGGCGTGGCATTTTCGGCGCAACGTAATTAGCGTCTGTCAAATGGCGAACAGATTCACACTGGTTAAGAAATTAATAGCATCTGTAACTTCAAATTGTTTTTGACAATGATGAGACGACTTAAGCCCTGCCTCTGTGCTGTGCGAGAACTTTTAATTGGCTATTTGCTACACAAGTTGACATTCGATCGAATTTCCATCCTATGTATATTTCAACAGTGAAGGAAAGATGTGTACTAGTGAATTTCAGAAGCTAATAATGTAACGTTGAGAATGCCACGCCTTACTGAAAGTCCAAGCTTAACTGGGAATTGTCCTAAAGAGTCCCCAGGCTCTACAGAGCTACCTAGCTTGCAAAGTCCACAAAATTACCACTTACCTTGCCTGTGTATGTCACTTTTCGTTTAATTAAAAGAGTGAAGGCTCTGTAATGTACAGTAAAACACGCTTATATTTATATTATTTAATAAGCGTGCTTTACTGTGCTATTTTTTTTAAAGATACGTTTACTGTACTTGTTCTTATAATTTTTTTACTGAAAAAAATGTGGTAATTTCACCTAAAATCAAAAAATAAAACTTTTGGTAACGTTAAACATATAGACCTATTAAAGAATATCTCTGTTTCTTCGATGATGTATAGTTACTCTTATGCTAAATATAGTAATGTGTTGATATTTTCAAATTATGAACTTTGTGTCTCAAGGTACTTTTATGTTATCAAAAACTACATCACAAATGTACTTAGTATATATATACATGTTGTGTTATGTTAAAAATTTGCATTGTTTTGTCACCAGAGAAGCTAGGATACTCCGTGGACCATGACGCTATTGTTAAGGAGTTTCATCATGCCTTCCTTCACGAAAACGCACTGAATCCCATGGTCTTCCCCAGCTTAAGGTATCAAGTCAGTGTTGTGTGTTTAACGCATCTCTCACGTTCTTTACTTAGTGAGGTTTGTGCCAAGGTCTAGCCCCCCTCCCCCAAATTTTATAGTTCTTACCCATCTTCATTTCAAATTATTTTTCCCTAGAGAGTGTTTTTCAGTAGTGTTTGTGCCAAGGTTCAGTGACAACGCCCCCCTTTTCAACAAACGAATTTAAATTCTTATCCTACCCTTCTTTATTCTATATAATTTTTATTTTAATTAGGAAGATGGAGACTGAAATCGTTAGCATGACAGCTGGTATGCTGAGTGGAAGTGACGAATGTGTCGGCTTCTTGACTTCCGGTGGTACCGAGAGTAACCTGATGGCTGTCAAGTCATACCTCAACCGTGCCAAGAAAATGTATCCAACGATCAAAAACCCTGAAATAGTAATTAGAGAAAATTATCATTTTTCTGAAAATTTTTAAAAGCAGTAGTTTCCGGTTTCACTCTGTGATAATTGATAACTTGGCCTTACTGTAGATAGCCCCTATAACGATTCACCCAACCATTGACAAGGCGGCGGACTATTTTGGTCTCACTGTAATACATACACCAGTGGACGAGAGGTTCCAAGCTGACGTCAAGGCCATAGAAAGGGTAACGATATTATAAATATTTACAAAAAAATTAATATAAAAAGTACGTATCTTTGTATATGTACCGGGTGAAGATGATAAAAGTCGTTTAAAGGCAACTTAAATACACATGGAAGATTGTAAAAGTTCATCTAATTCAATCCAATTTTTTGTAACTTAAAAATTATCATTCGGTTTGTCTCCTTTTTTGTCAGTTTTGAAATTTAACATCATGAATTTAAAATATACAGGCAATAACCCCAAATACCATCCTACTGTGTGCCTCCGCTCCTCAGTTTTGTCACGGCATCATCGACCCGATAGAGAAAATCTCACACCTCGCCCTAAAGAAGGGGCTCCCCCTGCATGTGGACGCCTGTTTTGGAGGATACATGCTACCATGGTAACAAGATTTTAAATTCGTTTCTAGTGAGAATCTCAGAACTGCCACATGAAATTTTCAACAGTCCAAGTGATAAATACTGCATTTTCAACGTAAACTGAGCAGTTTTGATTTTTCAGAAATTCTCAATGCCAAAAAAGGCCCTAAGTGGCCCTTGCTCTTTCTGTAAGCAAAGATTTTGGATTCCACAAACCCCCTTCAAACAAATAATCCAAACGATGTATTAGATATGACTTAGCAAAAGCTAAAAAAAAATAATTGCCAGCACTGAAACGGTGATTTTTTTTCCAGGGTAGAAAAACTAGGTTATGATGTTCCACCATTTGATTTCCGTAACCCCGGTGTAACATCTATGTCAGCTGATGTGCACAAATATGGATATGGAGTCAAGGTAGTTTGACATCATGGCTTATATTGCAAGTTCTAAACTGAAAAAAGGGTATAAACGTATTAATTAATTAAGGTCCTCAAAGTGAAATTTGTTCATGTTTTTATTAGATCATACTTTTATTTCTATCAATAAATGTAAACTACAGGGCTCCAGTGTGATTGTATACAAAAGTAACGACTATCGCCGTCACCAGGTATACACTTACGCCCAGTGGCCAGGAGGCCTGTATGGCTCACCCAGTATGGCTGGCACTCGACCAGGTGAACAAAAAATAGAGATTCATATATGATACCTAATAAAGTAATGATCATTGCGTTTATGCACTTGCATACAACGAATATCCTGTTTTAGTATACTACATGTACAAGTAATATCCTACATTTTTATTCTTAATTTTTTCTCTTTCTTGTCAGGTGGAAACATCGCCGCCTCGTGGGTGGCCATCAGAGCGCTGGGTGAGGACGGTTATATGAAACGTGCCAAAGAGCTAATGGATGCCACGGAACAACTGAAGGAAGGGGTCCGGAAAATAGACGGACTGAAGATACTGGGAACTCCACATATGACTTGTTTTGCTATTGGCTCGGCGGATCCAGAAATTGATATACAGGCTGTAGCTGACGTCATGGACGGAAAGGGTACATAAAAACTGCTAAAATTTCTGAAAATAAAGGATGAAAAACCTAGGAAAAGAGCATTACTAAAATTTTACACAGCAATTAAATAATCCATTAAATCATTATTTTCTTTGAAATTTCAAATTGTCGTTGTAAAATATAGATTGGGTCTCAATATTTATCATTAAGGCTGGAAGATGGAACGTAACCAGAATCCGAGTTCCCTACACTTGTCTATACTCCCGACTCATGTTCCGGTGGTGTCTGAGCTCCTGGCCGATCTCAAGGCCGCAACAGAAAGGGTCAAGGTCAGTTACGTATTGTTTTTTAACAATTAGAGAAGCTATTTTTAGAGGAAAGCTTTGTTTCCTGTGAATCAAATATTAATTAGGAAATCATTTCAATCACACTGGATTAACGATATAACTAACATTAAATTGTCACGTTAATAGAACAGATGTGATATATTTCATTGATTTTGAGATTTTGATAAATCTGGAGTTAATAGGATTTGCTGTGTTCCTAGGGCGACGTGACGCTATCTAAGAACGGTACGGCCGGAGTATATGGAATGATCGCCACAATCCCAGACAAATCCATCGTAGACGATTTCCTTGTGGAGTTCTTCTGTCAAGTGTACTCTTAACGTCTTCTCCGGATAACCTGAACTCAACCAAACTGATCTCTAATAGACTTGAATACTCATATCTGTTAATGACTAGTGTATAAAATAAATTGTATAGATAGTTTTAGTTTCATAATTAAACAACTTACAAACCACAATATCAAAGTCCTTTGTTCACGTTCTGAAGCACTTTAGCTAACATCCAACTGTCTGTGCATGGAAAGTACATTGTAATTATATGATATAAATGGCCATTGCCCCACCCTAGAAAATAAGTTTACCTTAATTGTTATCTTTCCATATATTGAGCCTTAGACCTATTTTTAAAACTTAATTAAATTGTGAAAATATCATTTTCCCCCTGCTATGTCAGTTAAGGGCGAAACTACGGAAGCGTATTAGGGCCGCAGCAGTATTTTTTTTTAATTTGTTATAACAAATTATTAATTTGTTAAAGCAAATTATTAATTTGTTTAAACAAATCATTAATTTGTTTAAACAAATTATTAATTTGTTTAAACAAATTATTAATTTGTTATAACAAATTATTAATTTGTTATAACAAATTATTAATTTGTTATAACAAATTATTAATTTGTTATAACAAATTGATAATTTGTTTAAACAAATTATTAATTTGTTATAACAAGTTGATAAATTGTTATAACAAATTGCTAATTTGTTTAAACAAATTGATAATTTGTTTAAACAAATTGACAATTTGTTATAACAAATTGATAATTTGTTTAAACAAATTGATAATTTGTTATAACAAATTGATAATTTGTTATAACAAATTGATAATTTGTTTAAACAAATTGATAATTTGTTATAACAAATTGATAATTTGTTATAACAAATTGATAATTTGTTATAACAAATTGATAATTTGTTATAACAAATTAGTAATTTGTTATAACAAATTGATAATTTGTAATAACAAATTGATAATTTGTAATAACAAATTGATAATTTGTTATAACAAATTGATAATTTGTTATAACAAATTGATAATTTGTTATAACAAATTAGTAATTTGTTATAACAAATTGATAATTTGTTATAACAAATTAGTAATTTGTTATAACAAATTGATAATTTGTTTAAACAAATTGATAATTTGTTATAACAAATTGATAATTTGTTATAACAAATTGATAATTTGTTTAAACAAATTGATAATTTGTTATAACAAACTACTTATTTGTTATAACAAATTACTAATTTGTTATAACAAATTACTAATTTGTTTAAACAAATTATTAATTTGTTATAACAAATTATTACTTTGTTATAACAAATTATTAATTTGTTATAACAAAATACTAATTTGTTATAACAAATTGATAATTTGATATAACAAATTAATAATTTGATATAACAAATTAATAATTTGTTTAAACAAATTTATAATTTGTTTAAACAAATTAATAATTTGTTATAACAAACTACTTATTTGTTATAACAAATTACTAATTTGTTATAACAAATTACTAATTTGTTTAAACAAATTATTAATTTGTTATAACAAATTATTAATTTGTTATAACAAAATACTAATTTGTTATAACAAATTGATAATTTGATATAACAAATTAATAATTTGATATAACAAATTAATAATTTGTTTAAACAAATTGATAATTTGTTTAAACAAATTGATATTTTGTTATAACAAATTGATAATTTGTTATAACAAATTGATACTTTGTTATAATAAATTGATATTTTATTTAAACATGTTAGAAAAGCTGGGTTTTTTTTTATTTCTTCAAATGTACGTTATTTAATTGAATAGTTCAGTTGATCTTTTTCATGTTGGAGATGGACAAGAAAATACTTATATCAAATTATTATCGACTGGGTTTAACGTTCAGAGAAATTGCTGATATATTGAGTCGGTGCAACAAGATTAATGTTTCTGTCAGACAAATTAAACGGATTACTTCCTCTCAAGGATTATATCGAAGGAAAAATAAGTCTAATGTGTTAAATGTTGGATACTTTATATACATGGAAATTCAAAGATCAGGTCAATTACATGGGTATAAATGGATGCACTCTAAGTGTTTGGAGAACGGTTATGTCATAGATCAAGAAACCGTGCGGATCATTCTCAAATGCATTGACCCAGAAGGTGTCAGATGTCGTACTAAAAGACGCTTAAGACGCAGAGAGTATGCGAATCCAGGTCCAAATTATCTATGGCATTTGGATGGTTACGATAAATTAAAGCCGTACGGTATATGCATTCATGGTTGTATAGATGGATATTCGAGACAAATAATATGGCTTGAGGCAGCTTCTTCCAATAACAACCCCCGACTCATTGCGGGGTACTTTATGGATGCTGTTTCGGAAATACAAGGTTGTCCGAAAATAGTACGAGCTGATATGGGCACAGAAAATGGAACTGTGCGTCAACTACAAATATTTCTTCGAGAAGATGATGCCACATGTAACCCAAACAGCGTCTTCTTGTATGGGACGAGTCGATGTAACCAAAGAATTGAAAGCTGGTGGGGCATCTTAAGAAAAGAGTTTGCACAATTTTGGATGAACGTTTTTGAGTCGTTTAAGGATGATGGTCATTACTCTGGTGATCATCTTGACCAGGAATTGATACGCTTTTGCTTTCTTGAGATAATTCAGGTAATTACGACAATATAATAAAAGGAAACTTGCATTGTACATAAAATTAGCACCATTTTGAAAGGAAGGACAGCCAGAGAAAAATATTTTAACCTACCAAAAAAAGCAAAATTGTCCAAACTCGAAAAATGCTAGTTAGTTAGGGAACGGGAGGGGGGGGGGGGTGGAGATGGGGTTAGGAGTAGGAGCTAGTTGGGTCGGTTACATAATTTTTTAAAACCAATTTTTTCCATTGTTTCCACATTATCCTTTTCCATTTTTGACTATAGTGCAGCAACAAGGGGTTGTTCTTTCAGCTTGATTAGTGAAAAGTAATGTTTTGGAAAAAGAACGGGGGGGGCAAACCTACACCCCACCCCACCCCGATCCTACGTAACTATTGTGTACAATATGCTGTACCCTAATCGATAATCATCGAAATATTTATAAATGCCAAAAACCTGTATCGTTGATCTTTTGTGTTATATTTTAATATCCAGGATGAACTAGACATGGTCGCACAAACCTGGAGTAGTCACAGAATTCGGAAAACGAAAAACCAAAGAACGCCAAATGGGAGACCTTTTGTGTTGTACAATTTTCCTGAACTTTGTGGCACAGAAGATTTCTTGTGGGACGTTGAGGAAATAAAAATAGATTTGTGTAAAGAGCATTGCATCAAAAAGTCCGAAGTGCCTTGTGATCAAGATTTGTTTGAATTGTGTCATCTTGAAATGGAAAATCATGGGTGGCACAAGCCAATTAACCCACAAGAAGCAATTGACTTGTACATATCATTATCTCCTGTCATTCGAAACTTATTGATTTAAAAATCAAATGCACTGAAATGAAGATTGATTCAACTTATTATTTGTTTAAAGTTTCATTTTCAAATATGAATACCTAAAAATCAGTGTAATTTTAGAGTAGATGGTATGAATTTGTGATTATTATCTATGCATTGGCAAATTTTTCAATTTCAGATTTCTTTGAAAATAAAATAATGATAATTATCATGCCATTTTACTGAGGTCCAAAGAAAAGAATTCAAAGGTGTGAAATTTCTGATGCAAGAAGCACATGGATGAAATAATAGTAAAAAATAAATGTGTTTGTGAAACACTATGCGCCTGGCGGCAACAAAGTTAAAAAAAACATGTTTTAGCATATAGGTCACAGTCTAGGTCACAAGGTCAATGATCTTGATGTCATTCGAAAGAACTTGATTAGTGAAGTATACATACTAAATATGAAAATATGAATTCTTTATCTCTCATGATTCAGAAGTTATGGTGAAGGTTCAAAAAGGTTATTTTAGTATATAGGACACATTCAAAGTCACAAGGTCATTGACCTTTGTGTCATGTGAAAGGGCTTAATAAGTGGAGTATACATGCTGAATATCAAGTCTCTATCTTTCTTCCTTCAAAAGTTGTGGCGAAGGCTAACGTTTGCCAACAAAAAAGTTATATTTAGTGTATAGGTCACATTTAAGGTCAGAAGGTCCTTGACAAAGGTGTCATTTAAAAGAACTTAATGCGCAGAGTAAGCATGCCAAATATGAAGTCTCTATCTTTTATTGTTCGAAAGATATGGCGAAGGTTAATGTTGTATTTGTAATTGTATTAAACATAGGTAATCAGAGATTACAGAGCTCACCTCAACGAATCTTGTCTTTAAGTAAGGCAAAGTCACACAATTAACCAACAAGAAGTGTACATTCCAAAAATGAAAATATTTAAGCAATTTTAATCTGATTTTGAAATAGACCTACATAAAAAATTTAAACTAGTTCTTCTTCATGAAAATGTAATTAAAATCCAGCATCTGAAGCAAATTTGAGGGTTTCCATCTCTTGATGCAACATTTGTGCAAGTTTGGTTTATACAATGTTATACAAGCCTTATAGTTTATTGGTAATAGACCTGCACCCATAACTTTTACCTGGTCTATTATCTGAAAATGTATGTCGAATTCAGCATCCGAAGCAAGTCCATTAGTGTGCATCCTAAGATGTATCATCCATGCAAGTTTGCTCATTATAGGGCTCATAGTTAATTGGAAATGAAACCTGCATCAAAAACTAACATTTTAACTCATCAACATAAAGTAGGTCAGATTCAGAATCCAAAGCAAGCCCGGTAGTATGCATCCTTATATGTATCATCCATGCAAGTTTGGTCATTAAAGAACTCATAGTTACTTGGAAATGAAACCTGCACCAAAAACTTTAACCTATTCACTCAACCAGAAAATGTAGGTCAGATACAGCATCCGAAGCAAGCCTGGTAGTATACATCCTTATATGTATAATCCATGCAAGTTTGGTCAACATAGGGCTTATAGTTACTTGGAAATAAAACCTGCACCAAAAACTTAAACCTGTTCACTCAACCAGAAAATGTAGGTCAGATTCAGCATCCGAAGCAAGCCCTGTAGTGTGCAACTTAGATGTATCATCCATGCAAGTTTGGTCAACATAGGGCTTATAGTTACTTGGAAATGAAACCTGCACCAAAAACTTCAACTTGTTCACTCAACCGGAAAATGTAGGTCCGATTCAGCATCCGAAGCAAGCCCCATAGTATGCATCCTTAGATATATCATCCATGCAAGTTTGGTCAACATAGGGCTTATAGTTACTTGGAAATGAAACCTGCACCAAAAACTTTAACCTGTTCACTCAACCGTAAAATGTAGGTCAGATTCAGCATCCGAAGCAAGCCTGGTAGTATGCATCCGTAGATGTATCATCCATGCAAGTTTGGTCAACATAGGGCTTATAGTTACTTGGAAATGAAACCTGTACCAAAAACTTTAACCTGTTCACTCAACCAGAAAATGTAGGTCAGATTCAGCATCCGAAGCAAGCCTGGTAGTATGCATCCTTAGATGTATCATCCATGCAAGTTTGGTCAACATAGGGCTTATAGTTACTTGGAAATGAAACCTACACCAAAAACTGCACCAAAAATGTTAACCTGCTCCAAAAACCTTAACCTGGTCATTCCTTTGCTGAAATTGCAGCATCTGAAACTTTGACTGGTACAATGAAACACACTAGAACCATCTTCCATGCATGTCTAATCAATATAGGACATAGAAGTACTTAAAAAGAAAACTGCTCCAAAAAACTTAACCTTAACCTTGGACGCCGACGCCGAGGGTATTACATAAGCTCCCCCAACTTCGTTGAGGTGAGCTAAAAATAAACTATTTTTAGCATATAGGTCACAGTCAAGGTCACCAGGTCATTGACCTTGGTGTCATTAGAAAGAACTTAATTAGTGAAGTGTGCATACCAAATATGAAGTCTCAACCATTCATGGTTCAAAAGTTATGGCGAAGGCTAAAGTTTGCAGACAAACAGACAGGGCAAAAACAATATACACCTAACATGATAAGAGTTAATCTGCACAGTGGGTCTTGAGAAATAATTTTTAGCAACCTTTATCCCCCCCCCCCCATTTACCAGTATTACCCATATTTGTTAAAAGGCCACATTCCTGTTTTTGATAAAAATGATAACCATTGATGTCATTTAACAAATTTGATGATGAATTCTGGTGGGTCAATTCTTAAAATATATGGCCCAACACCATAGAAACAAGAATAACTCAAATGGACAGATCTATGCTTCATCAACATTGACACACTTATTAAAAGTGAAAGACCTGGAACTTAAATTTATAAAACATCATCATTAAAACTACCGGTATATGTTTACATTCAAACATTTACACCACAAGTATCAAATTTGACTTTACTTTTTCTAGATATGTCTTCCTCTGTCAAATGTTTTAAATGAAAAGTGAACTATAAAAATTGTCACTGTTTATTAGAAACACTCAAATAAAAAGCAAACTAATGAATCATCTTTCAATCACTTTCATAATCAGAAGTCTCTGGTGAGACTGTAGCTCTACTGGTCTAGGTATAATAAAAGAAAAGGCAGCAATAAATAGAATTAATTTATGTACCTTAGTGTAGTCTACTCGTATGCCAAATTTTATAGATATCAAACCAAAACTGTAGGAGAAGTATAGTTTTGAAACTATTTTCATGAAAATTTCTATTTTAAGTAATCATGGTGACACCATTCATCGAATCTGACCAGTAGAGCCAAAAATGTGCACAGAAAAAAAAGCCCACTGATCACATTTCCCTGCATGGCTTGGGTTAAAACTGACATTCTTTTTTTCTTCAAATTAGACAAACATCAAAATGAAAGTCTTTGGGTTATAGTCAAGTATGACCCCCTGAGACCCTTCTTGGGTGTGCAATTAAACAAAGAAAACAAGAAATATGGGTATACCATTTCAGACATGGATTTAAAAAGTGTATCCGACAAATATGTTGAAAAATGGTAACCCCTTATATATAGCAATGAATTTATCCAGACATAAAAAATGTAAAGATCTAATCATGCATGTTTAAGAAGCTCAAAACATGTACTGCTCCCTAGTTTAAAGCAGTAATAGAGTAATCTACCCTTTTGTTTAAGAGGAACAATGAAAAAAAATATTCAGGGAATCACAAGTCAGGAAATCACAAGTTCAAATAGTGCAAGTACAAGAAGTTAACTCAAACATACTTCTAAACAAAAGAAATTAAAATAAAAATGTACATATTTTCAAAATTGGTTTCATGTTACCAGTATGTTTAACTTTTGTAGATGATTGCATGACATTTTAAGTACTTGAATATAATGATTTGAGCCCTTGTCTCTATAAACAGTTTCATGAAACAACATTCAACTCCTTGTTCTATAAATTCATAATCAAAATGCACACAAATTATTTTAGCAGAAGAAACACAGAACTGCTACAATCCAGAGGCCTATGGGCCACATAATTAACAATAGACAATTTTGATCTGAACAACTCAGGCAATATTCATTACAAAACAAGAATCATCTGCTAATATGCTGTCCAATTCATTCCTAAGCTCTGGATAGCTTAAATAGGTACTGGGTAGCTCTAAGACAGGTCCACACGTGTGGGCAATTGGTCTTCGACCAAGCCCGTCTAGTTGGGTGAAGGTCACCTCTATCTTTTCCACGGTAATGGCCTCTGAGCCAGTTAAAAATCTTAGGAGTTTTTTCAAGGACGCACTATTTTGGCCTCTTATGTATTGTTGCAGAAATCGTAATGATGTCGCTTCGTTGTTTTCTTTTGGAGAGGCCTTGATCATTTTCAACACTTTTTTTGCTGTGGGCTCCATCTCTTGGTAAGTATTTATTATTCTCTCAACTGAGAGAAAGCGCGAGAGTAAAACATCTCTGCACCCAAAAGCCATGTTGTCTGTGGCATATTTAGGTTTTTGGATGAGCTCTTTGTGTGCTATTTTGCTTAACAGGCTTGGTAAGTTTTCTTTTGTTGGTCTTTGCTTGCATGAAAACCTGTCTAGCAAGTCAAGCAGGTCATCAAGCATTTCATCATCAAAAGTCTCTTTATTCAAAGCCAAGGATAGAGTCTCTCTTTCTGTTTTGCTTAAGAAGTTGAGGAAAGCATCATTTAGAATTTTATCAGTCACTGATGCTTCACCAAATGAAACTACTATAGTAGTTACTGGTGACATCTGTATGGGAAAAACATTTTGATCAACAAAACCCTTGGCAAATATTCTCCCAATAGCCTGCCATTCATCCCCTTGCCATTTTGAGTTCAGGGCAGGTACTCTGGATTCTTCCCCTTCAGCTGAACGCCTGAAAAATTCAACCCAGAATGCAGAATAAGCATCTCTTGACACTCCATTCATATCTGAACCACGCTCACTAACAAATTCAAATGTGATATCCTTGTTCATTATCTCTGGATCTTTAAAAAATACAAGCATTTCATCCAACAAGGTCACTCTATGGATTCTAAGAACTTTGTCCGTTTTGAGTGGAAATTCTTGAGGCACTGTAATTGCTGCAGGTACTATGTTTTCAAGATGCTGGCTGGAACTAGATCTTATAGATAATGGGGGATTCATGGAAACAAGTTCTTCAGAATGGACTGTGCTGATGCAGGATGCAGGATTTGGGTTGATACATGTTGCTGGAACTGTACTGAAGCATGTAGAATCTTCAACATTATCAGTAACAATGTTTGTTTCCTGGAAGCACAATGGTACATCAGCAGCCAACATTGCCTCAGAAAGTATATCAAAGCTTGTGACTTCACTTGGGTCTGGCAAGTTTTCATCATCATCTGAAATGCTGCTGTTTGTTGTTTTCGGTCTTTTGATGGGTCTTTGTATAATTGGCAAATCTTCATATTTACATGTAGGAATGAGAAGAAGATAAAATGTTAGTTTGCTTAAACCTGTCTGCTCATACAGCTTTCCAACACTTATTTCATCATCAAGAATATCTTCCTCAAAATTCTGCATGTCAAATGAGAAGTCATCAACACATCCTAGTTTACTTGTACCAGATTTACCAAAGTACAATTCTTTGGCCTGCTCAATAAGTTCCTTCTTCTTGAATGATTTTTTAACCGTAACTTCTCTTGGACCTCCTCCTCTTTTTGCTCTTATAGTTACAAAAGTATCGTCCAATTTTGATTTAATTCCAAGTTTAATTTTACGTGTCTCCTTTGTAGCATTTTGATTGCCTTTATAAGGATTGATTGTACATGTACTTTCACTTCCTTCCTCTACATCAGAATCACTTTCTGATATCTGGTTTTTGGCATTTGATTTCTTTGTTCTCCTTATGTCCTTCAACTTCTGCCTCAATGAAGCTACTAATGTAACTTTTGATTTTTTCTTTTTTTTGTCATCTTCCTTTTTTATATAAGAACGAAGAGCCACTCTGTCACCATAATGTGGTATAAAGCTGGACAATTCTTTATCATCTATAACTCGTAATGCAGCTAGGTCAATCTGAAAAGTAATTTTAATATGTATAAATGTTAACCAAGGTAATATTATTACATTTAATGCCTTTGGCTCAAGTGAGCTTTTCTGATCATAATTTGTCCGTTGACTGTCATTGTCGTCATCAACTTTTCACATTTTCATCTTCTTCTCAAGAACCACTGGGCCAATTTCAACCAAACTTGCCACAAAGTATCCTTAGTGAAGGGAATTCAAGTTTGTTCACAAGAAAGGCCACACCCTCTTCCAACGGGAGATAATTATGAATTAGTGAAAAATTAATTGCATTTTAAAAAAAATCTTCTCAAGAATAGCAAAGCCATGATTAGTGATACAAATATTTATATGGAAGCATTTTTGGTTGGTGTTGAATTAAATTTGTTCAAATCATAACCCCAAGGGTAGGATGGGGCCACAATGGTGGATCAAAGTTTGACATTAAAAAATAAAGGGAAAAATCTAGGGCTTGGATGATATATCGAGATATTGATATACCGTGATATATGTGAGGACGATACACATATCGATACATTTGAAAAAATATCGACGTATCGCCCAAAAAATCTGTCTTCTGTTTTTCCTTATTTATTTAACATTTGGGGTTTAAAATTTAAAATAAATAAGTTAAATATAAGTATAGATATGAAATAAATAATAATTAAGACCAATTGAGTAAAATATTTTTGTTTTACAACATATAAACAACTATTTTGAATAAATTATTCTCATTTGCAAAGAAATAATTTGTTTATTTCAATGCAAAAATTTTTTTTATAAGCAATTAAACATATCGTGATACTTATCCTATCGCGGCTCAAATATCGTGATACGTATCGATATAGAAAAAGTTGTATCGTACCAGCCCTAGAAAAATCCTAAGAACAGAAAAGCTATGTTTAGTCATATTGACATGTAAGCATCCTCATGTATTGCAAATTTAAATTTATTCAAATCATGGCCCTTTGCAGTAGAGAGGGAAACAATGGGGAGTCATATTCAAATTATTATGAAGTTATATATTTGAAGAAAATGTTTTTAGGAAATCTTTTTATCAAGAACTGCAAAGTCATATGCTGTATTAAATTGAAGGCATTCTCAAGTATAAGTATTAGATTTCAAGCCCCCCTCCCACATTTAACTTTTCAGTTCTGATCTGATTTTTGCTTTCCTAGCCGATTTACTCAGGTGAGCAATGTGGCCCCTAGGCCTCTTGTTATTATATACATCCTGCTTGAAAAGCAGGAGGGTATATAGTAATCCGGATGTCCATCCATCCCTGTGTATAGCTGTCCGTCCATCTGTCTGTCTGTTACGCTTTACCCTCATTGTCGTAACTACCCAATTGGTGGAAGATTTTCAATGAATTCACATATTTTTACTATATCATCAACAGAGCCCCCCCCCCCCTTTCAGAAAAACACCAGAACCCATGTGTCCACAAGTTTTAAAAATTTTGAAAAAGCACCCTTGCTCATCAAAACTATACACTTGTTTTACCCAGAAGCAGAAAAAATTTAAAGAAATAATGCATTTTCACTATATAATTAATAGAGCTAACCCCCCCTTCCCCCCTCCCCCCACTTCATCAAAACCCCTGACCCTGGGGCCATGTCTTTCACAATTTTGGAAGAAAACTCAATACTTATTACAATCATGCCAACAGTTTGAGTATCCAGGAGTAAAGAAGATTTTATGAGATTGAATTAACTTTATCGGTTTGGTCCCACCCCTCAGGCCCCAGGGGGGTAGGAGTGAGACCATGGAATTCAAAATTTTTTGATCCCCTTTACCCATAGATGCTTTATGCCAACTTTGGCTGAAATTGGTCGAGTTAAAACAGAGAAGTTGAAAATGTTCAAATGTTATCACACAAGGCATATGATGATGGACCAAAACGGATAGCAATAGGTCACCTGAGTTTACTAAAAATCTGTGGCAAATACTACTGATGGACTGAAAATTTATGTTTTTTTAATGTACTTTCACATAAATTTTTAAAGGAGGTTAATAGTTTGATCACTGAATAAATATTAGATTCATTTCTGTTATATATAGTTAGTAATTAGTTCATACAGGCATTTACCTTTTCCTTTTTCATAAGCTCTGTATTCACATTGCGGCTTTCCAAGAACGTGTACAAAGCATCATCTGAATCTGCAGCCATTGTTTGTAATCACTATAAAAATAAAAAAAAAAGAGGTAGTTATTTTTTTGTTAGGTCTTAGAAGCTTATCAAACCTGGGTAAAATTATTGTTACATCTGGGTATAGAATGACAATAGTATTTTTATGCAGCCTGGTCGATATAAATGTCTGCAAACTTTAACCTTTGCCATGAAAGATAGGGACTTCATATTTTGTATGCTTACTCCACTGATTATCATTAAGCTCTTTCAAATAACACCAAGTTCAATAGCCTTGTGACCTTAAATGTATCCTTTTTGAACCTTCGCCATAACTTTTGAACCAAAAGAGATATAAAGACTTCATATTTAGTATGCATACTACACTAATTAAGTTCTTTCAAATGACACAAAGGTCAATGACTTTGTGACCTATATGCTAAAAATAGTTTTTTCGAACTTCGTTGCTGCTGGGCGCATAGTGTTTTACAAACACATCTTGTACTTTTTGAATTTGAGATACATGTATTTGTACTTTTATGTTTTTAACTTTAAGGGAAAAACCACCCAGTGCTGTATATTTCATCTTTCAGTTACTAGAACATTTATTTAAGCATTTATTTTATTGAGTTGTAGATGAAAACAGACCTGAAAGAATCAAAAACCTTTTGTGGAAATATTACCAAACTATAATATTTTATTTCAATCCTTCA